ACCGGCAAGGTCAAGGAGGTCGTCATACTCATCTGTGTACTTGAACACATCTCGCAAGCCCATATAATATAGATGGGTCTCCAGTCGCGCCAGGGCGTGGTCTTGCTTGTTCTCCTCGACGAATTGGAGCTTGAACTCGGTGACAAAGAGAGTCCAAGTGGGGAAGAGGAACGGGGTGCGCTCGGACATGCGCTCGGACCAGGAAGCCGCAGAGTCCTTGGACATGTAGGACAGGGCAAAACGGACTACCTTTTCCTCCGAGACTACCCCACTCTCGAAGAACGCTTCGGGAAGCAGCCGCCAGTACTGCTTCACGGAGTGCAAGAAGCTCTTGCCCAGGGTGCGATCCCCATCAAAGACGAAAGGGGGGTTTGGACGGATGAGAGGGCGCGCAGAGTTAGCGCCAGCAGAAACACCTGGACCCGCTGCTGGAGCTGGAGCAGGGGCAGGGGCAGGGGGCGGTTGTTGTTGTTGGGTGATGAGCCGGGTGAGCACGGCTTCGATATTTGTTATGCTGGTCTCCAGAGCGGACAGTCGCTGCTGGTCATGGTCTTCCATGCTCATTGGGTCTGCTTGTGGAGGGGAGGAGGGGGCAAGATAGGAGGTGAGGGAGTGGTGGTCTTGGTCGCTCGTCGACTCTTCTCCACTGGCGTCAGCGTCGAACCTCGCAATCTTGTCCGGTTATCCCTAGGAACACGGTTTCTGCTGTAAGGGCAACCTCGAGGCCCGGTGTCAGAGTCCTGGCAAGGGAGAATCCAAAGTGATTAATAGTGGTAGCTAGGTACAAGACCGGCATACCTGGCAAGGGAGAATCCAAAGAGAAACCGTGTTGGGGATTCTCCTTGCCAGGCGCCACTATTTATATGGTACAAGAACAATAGACCGCGCAGCGACAAACAAAGGACAATGGGAACAATAAGTACAATGGCCATGACAGAACAATAGGAAACCAAGACAGTGGGAACAATGGGACACCTGACCATGTGCCCATCAGGGAGAAGCGCTCGGCGCGGCAGTCCGGGCCGCGGTACGTGACAGCTGACAGGTCACGCGAGCGCGATCGCATGCCAGATCCCAAGCTGATTGATCAGAAGAGGGGGTTCCCCTGACAAAGATGCGAGGGCTTCAGGGTGGACAGAGCACTAGTATCACAACTCTCAATAGATGCGGGATCTAATAGTCACAGAAGACAAAGTCAACAACAAGGATTTATATATAGTAAACAATGGTGTCTCAACCAATATCTTCTATACAGCCAAAACCAACACTAATCCAACCACAACCAACAATATCACAAGTCAGAACTTAATACGAAGTATTAAGATCCCTTGTAGCAACAGCATCCAGATGGTGACACAAAGCCCAAAATATCAAGTCAATGCACTGCCAACCAATACAACCAAAATACTGAGTCAACGCACTGCCAACTAGTAAAACCAAAATGTCAAGCTGACGCACTGCCAACTGATACAACCAAAAACACTGAGTCAGTGCACTGCCAACTAGTAGAACCAAAATGCCGCATCAATGCACTGCCAACTAACAGCCAATATCCAATGTCCAAAACCCGAGCACAACTTGTTGACGCACTGCCAAGCAAGAAGTGTGGAACCAAAGTTCTCAAGTCAACACACTGCCAACTGACCAAAACAACCCAAGCACAACTAGTCGATGCACTGCCAAACTAGAGGTGTGGAAACAATCTCAACAAAGCCCAAAGGCAACGACACTAAGTGCCGTGACAAAACCAGAAGCAGTGAATCCGACTTTCTGATATCTCAACTAAGACTCAAATCACAGTAGCTACAAGCACTTGGGGAGCAACTTGTTGCAACTGGGCAGGGGTAATAGAACTTCTTAAGGTGGAATCACGCAACACGCAAATTGCACAAAAACAATCTGATATGGGTATGATTCACAGTCCAGGGTAAAGCTCCCCAATACAAAGAAACAACATGCTACTTATACTGTCTACGACAATGCTTAGTAAAGACCTGTACAACTGCATAGTCACTATGCTATCTAAGATTGGTTGCCTTTTATAGTAATGAAAAAGTTGAACAATTGGACAGGTCCTGACTGATCAGGACCCCGCCCCATTGTCTATATGGTACTTTTGATGTAGGTCAACCCACCGTGTCATACTTTTGGAATACGACATGCTGGATTGGCCAACTGGTATATCTTGGCAAGTGAGTCCAATGTGGGTGCCCCAAGAAGCCGTATGGTCCTAGGCATGCCAGACGTTCCTTGCATAGTTTGGTTCATAGATCTAGCCTGTGTTGCTTTTAGTGTGTTTGGGTATGGGCATGACTCACCATGACACTTTGAAGTGTCACCGTGATGCATCCACAATATCCTGTGATTGAGTGGAACATGACATGTGACAAGTCGTCACCGTGGCATGATCTAAGGAAATGTCCAACCCAAAGCCGGGAGTTGCCGCGACAAGATTGGTTCAATCTTGTAACACCAAGTCCTGTCTCATAGTAGTTGTTATGTTGAGCACGTCGCGCATTGCTAAGCTCTCCAGCCTGAGTTCCCATCTGCAGAGGATGACCCTTTCAAGGAGTTGCTGCAACAAAGCATCCCTTTTGGGGAATTGTCGCAGTCCGAGTGTCCGTCACTAATAGCCCTGAGCCTGGTGTAGACTTATAAGACCAATTCCACAGTAGTGGTCTGACTGCCTTGCTATTGTTGACACTATCCACAGTTGTCAACTGGGTAGTAGACCCTCAAGTCCTACTAAGCACAACACTGGCAACCGCGACACAATACACCAAATGGTTTGAGAGTAAACTCTGTAAAAGCGCAAAAATACGCCCTTATAGAGCTGGTGCAGAGCGCATCTGGTAGCCAGCCTATCACCGGAAGATAGATGGAGAAGGGAATAAAATCAAGAGGAAAGCATGATATGTGGCATGGGGTGACCAGATAGTAGAGAGATGAGACTTTGGGGACAAAGTGGGCAATGGTTGCAAGAATGGTGTTTGCAGTGGCGGCTATCAAGTACTTGCATGTGAAGCAGTAGAACTTCTTGTGAGCTTACTTGAATGGCATAATGGACAGGCCAGTCTTCATAAAACAGCCAAAGGGGTTTGAGGAGCAGGGGGAAGAGAGCAAAGTATACTTACTTCTCAGGCTAATATACAGATTGGTGCAAGCCAGACACATCTGGTACAAGATGCTGGCGGCAGAGTACAAAGACCTTAGGTATCACAAGAACAGGGCGGATCTGTGTGTGAGAACAAGGATGGACGGTGAACAATATACCTTGACAAGCATGCACACTGACAATGTTATTGAGGCGTCTTCAACTAAAACAGAGAGCAAGTGCGTAGTGGACAAATTCACATATATCTGGGACTTGAAGGAAGTGGATGTGAATCATCTCCTTGGGTTAACAGTCGAGAAGTTCTTGGACGGATCAATATCTGTATGCTAACGGCAATACTTTGATAAAGTTCTCAATCACTTTGGGTTTGCTGACATTCCCCTGCTGTCAACACCACTACTGCCCAACTATCAAAGACGTGCCTTGCCATTGCCCCTCCCACCTGTAGATGAAAAATTCATGGCTGACAAATTATTCAGGCAGATACTCAGGTCCATTGTATGGGGAGTACAGGGATCAGACCCAATCTCTCATATGCCTGCTGTGTCTTAGGGCATGTGCAGTTCAACCTGGGACCCAAACACTGGATGATTCTTATTGGTGTTCTTCAGTACATCTGCAGTACAATGGACTATGGTATCAAGTATAAGCTAGACACCCTTGGGAATGGAGATGGGATGAAACCTCTGGGTTTTGTTAATTCAGACTGGGCAGGATGTGTTGACATGCAAAGATCAACTGGTGGCTACATCTTCTTTATGGGTGGAGCCCCTGTTGCATGGTTGGCCAAGCAGCAAACGGTCATAGCCTTGTTGTTGATAGAAGCCAAATACATCTTGCTTGCCTGTACATGTCAGCAATCAGTCTGGATGGAGAACTGGTTATCAGAATCATATCTACCCCAAAGCGGACCATTCAAATTGCAAGGCAACAACTTGGGCTCCATCAGCTTGACCAAGACAACAAAGGGCCACAGACTTGCCAAACATATTGACATACAATATCACTACATCCATTATCACGTCAGCCTGGGCAAGATTTCCATCACATCGGTCCTGGGAAAGTCAAACATTGTGGACATTATGATGAAGGTGTTAGGAAGTAAGATCACAAACAGATATGTTGTGCGCTTGGACTCGATTGGCAGAGAGCTGAACGCCAGGGGGAGTGTTAAGGTGTGATACCATCACTTCTTGGATGTGGGCATTCAGTGTTAGGGTTTGTTATGACCAATCACACATATAAAAACTTCCCAATTGCTTTTCATTGCGTCCCTTAGTCTTACCTGCATCTACGGTGTGACTGAGGACTTACGTACACTTCTTGTCTACAGAGTGTACAACCCAAAGCATCACAGCTCGTGTTTACTAGTCAACTCACAACAGTCATTTTGGATGCTGAATTCCTGTGGTAAAGCACTGTATCCTAACACTTGTTGGAGCCCAGAATTTTGGACATTTGTGCATAAAGATTGGGTGAAAAATGGTCAAATGTGCACAGGACGTGTAATGTGCTGAGCAGCAATTTAATACTATATGGGAAAAAAGACGCCTGTTTCCGGCACAAATTGGTTGGTACACTGGTGTCAATATTTAGTATCTTTTTGTTTTCACATATAGAACGCTGAAAATGGAACCTCTAGTACGCGTGATTTTTGCGGAGAATAAATGAGGTCCCTACAGTGCTAGCCCCAGCGAAATTTCGAATTCTTTAATGGTCCCAACTCGTGGCAATAATACAAATATCTTGCTCTCCTAACCTCTTTTATGCGTAGACGACTCTCCGTGTGATCGCAATGGATTTGTTTCTTCACCTCCGGTGTCCGCCACCAGCCCCCAATGTTTCAAGTTGTTTGTGGGAGCAGATCATGTGACTTGTACAGCCACCTCGACAGCGACGGTGACCACGCCATATCGTCTCCCTTGCCTCTACCCCACCATGTCTGAAATTCGAAGGAAGCTTGTTATTGTCGGAGACGGTGCCTGTGGCAAGGTCTGATGACCGCATGCTAGCTTCCCCTTCTTTCCCTCTCATTCCTTATCCAGACCTGTCTCTTGATTGTGTTTTCCAAAGGGACCTTCCCTGAGGTACTCCTCTTTCGTAGCGCCGTTTGATTCTCAAGTTCATACATACCCTCCACAGGTCTATGTCCCTACTGTCTTCGAGAACTACGTGGCCGACGTCGAAGTCGACGGCAAGCACGTGGAGTTGGCACTTTGGGATACCGCTGGCCAAGAAGATTATGATCGTCTTCGTCCTCTCTCCTACCCCGACTCTCATGTCATCCTCATCTGTTTCGCGGTGGACAGCCCCGACTCGCTTGACAACGTCCAAGAGAAGGCATGTTTTTTCGCTTCGTCGTCGCAACTGCTGTGCCTGACAACTAAACCTGTGTATAGTGGATTTCCGAAGTCATGCACTTCTGCGCGGGCCTTCCCATCATCCTCGTCGGCTGCAAGAAGGATTTGCGTCGTGATCCTCGTGTCATAGAAGAGTTGCGCAAGACCAACCAGAGACCCGTCACTCCCGAAGAGGTAAGCTACATGTACGCTCACTCGTCTTCCATGATTGATGATGGTCTCCTAGGGTCAAGCTGTTGCTCAGAAGATTGGTGCCCGCAACTATCTCGAGTGCTCGGCCAAGTCCGGTGAGGGTGTCAAAGAGGTCTTCCAGTATGCGACTCGTGCCGCCTTGCTCAGCAACAAGGGCAAGAGATCACACGGCAGCAAGTGCCTGATCCTATAATTCTGGAAATACATACCCGTCATTGTGTCCTCGTATTTACTTAGCTGGCTCAACTTGAATGAGTATTCTCCTTTCACACTTCGAGAGCTGCATGCATTCCTCGCTAGGTAGCTCCTACGCATAATACATCCATCACAAAAACGTAAACCGTTCTTCCGCCGTCATGAGGCGCGTGACTTTTCGAAATTGACTCACCTTTCGCCTCGCGGGTTTGAGATCCCAACCCTTACTCGTACCACCATGTTCTTGCGCCCTTTGCGACCAAGGCAAGCTTTGCGTGCTGTGCGCTTCACCCCTTCGCGCACCATATCGCGTTCCACCCAGCTTGGCGCATCACCTGCGCCATCAGCGCGTCCTTCGCCCAGTTTCCAACAAGTACCCCCTGGCAGCACCGTACCCAACAACTCCACTCCCCACTACGGGCCTCCTCCCAATGAACCGATGGATCACTCGTTCATTGGTCTCAGTGGAGGAGAAGTCTTCCATGAAATGATGCTACGACACGGCGTGAAACAAATCTTTGGCTATCCTGGGGGCGCCATCCTCCCTGTCTTTGATGCCATCTATAACTCCTCTCACTTCGATTTCGTTCTCCCGAGGCATGAACAAGGAGCAGGGCACATGGCCGAGGGTTATGCCCGTGTGTCTGGGAAGCCGGGGGTCGTCCTTGTGACTTCTGGACCCGGCGCCACCAATGTCATCACTCCAATGCAAGATGCGCTTTCCGACGGGATTCCTCTTGTCGTGTTCTCTGGCCAGGTCGCCACTAGCGCCATTGGCTCAGACGCTTTCCAGGAGGCAGACATTGTCGGTATCTCGCGGAGTTGCACGAAATGGAACGTTATGGTGAAGGACATTGCGGAGCTTCCTAGACGTATAAACGAAGCATTCAAGATTGCTACCTCTGGACGGCCTGGGCCCGTGCTCGTGGATCTCCCGAAGGATGTCACCGCAGGCATTCTTCGATCTGCGGTCCCCGCACGACACACCACACCTAACCATGATGCTTTGGGCTTGCCAGTAAATCCTCTCGCTCTTCCGGATCCTCCAACAGACCCAGCTGCGATTCTTCAAGCTGCTGCCCTCATTAACGCTGCTCAACGACCGGTGATTTACGCCGGTGCCGGCGTGCTTTCATCTCCGCAGGGGCCCGCTCTTCTCGCAGAATTGGCTGAGAAGGGGAATATCCCCGTTTGCACTACTCTTCAAGGTCTGGGAGCGTTCGACGAGATGAATGAACGGAGCTTGCACATGCTCGGAATGCACGGATCGGCATACGCTAACCGCGCTATGCAGAATGCGGATGTCATTCTCGCTCTCGGTGCCCGGTTCGATGACCGTGTCACCGGCACGTTGAGCACCTTCGCGCCGGGAGCCCGAGCTGCCGCTTCGAAAGGCGAAGGGGGCATCATACACTTCGAGATTCTGCCCAAAAATATCAACAAGGTTATTGAAGCGACCATTCCCGTCCTCGGAGACGTCGTGCAAAACATGGGTGCATTGGTCTCACACATCGAGAGTGCGCCGAGGAAAGCCTGGTTCGACGACATCAAGGGCTGGAAAGAGCGGTATCCGTTCACCTATGTCCCGAGCAAAGCGGGAGAGAAGATCAAGCCCCAAGAAGTGATCGAGGCCCTTGACAAAGCAGTCGGAGACCGCAAGAAGGATGTGATTGTGACTACCGGCGTTGGGCAGCATCAAATGTGGGCTGCTCAACACTATCGATGGACACAACCGCTATCGTTAGTCACCTCGGGTGGCCTCGGTGTGCGTTTCTATTCTCACCATGGTTTCTTGCCTGACTCCTTGCAGACTATGGGCTTCGGTCTTCCTGCTGCCATTGGCGCCAAGGTCGCAGCTCCGAAAAAGATAGTGGTTGACATCGACGGAGATGCGTCTTTTAGCATGACTGCCATGGAGCTCGCCACTGCTTCCCAGTACGGGATTGGTGTCAAGGTGCTTGTGATGAATAATGAGTTCCAAGGCATGGTTTTACAGTGGCAAGGTACGCGCTCTCTTCATCGACTCTCCTCATCTTGCCTGAACGGTTCTAGATCTGTTCTACTCTGCTCGATATTCGCACACTCGGATGACCAACCCTGATTTCGTCGCCCTGGCTCGTGCGATGGGGGTTCACGCTCTCCGCTGCGACAAGGCAGAAGATTTGGCGTCAAAAATGGACGAGTTCCTCAACTACGACAACAGCAAACCAATCCTCATGGAGTGCCTTGTAGAGCGCAAGGAACATGTTTTCCCTATGGTTAGTCTTCCGTCGTTGCTGAAAGCAGCCATCTCACATCTCCGCCAGGTCGCCGCTGGGAAAGCGCTACACGAGTACATCTTGCATCCGTCTTTGCGCAAGGACTGATGGATGGCATGTCACCTCAAAAGGCACACACTCGTGCTCCTTGTATTTCATACAACCACTTGTATCATCGCTTATAGGAATTCATGCAAACGCCTTGGGCTAAACTACTCGGCAGCATTCATGACTTGGAGCACAACCTCGCGACGAAGCCACTTGTCCTCCGGAATCCAGTACCAACTCGCTATCCCAAACAAGGTGACCGCCCCAAAAATGACGACCGCAAAGTTGAATGAGTCGCCGGTCACCGGGAAATAAAACGGTGAGATCATCACAGCGAATATCAGAGCATTGAAGACGACCGCGCTCGCGTAAAAAGGTTTGGCGAACGACCCCAGTCGGAAGTGCGAAGATTGAAAATCATTGGGGGTCATTGTGAGACGCAAAAGTGCTATCAGTCCGTAGGCGGCGATCGTTGGCACACCCCCTGCGCTGACCAGACTGGTGAACGCGACCTGACTGGGTAGGATTGTGCAGAGCAGCAGTGCCGCGAAGACAAAGATCAACGTGACGGCGTTCCGGGGTTGACCGTCGTGGGTGACTTGGCTGATCCAGCGCGACATAGGCAGCACCCCGTCCCTGGCGACTGCAAAAATCAGCCGCGAGGCAGCGACAATAGCGACGCTGGTGTTCTGAAAAGTCGTCAATATGGAGATGTTTGACGGTCACATGATCTACAAACCAAAATAAGACCAATGACAGCAATGATGGTCATGAAAACACTGCCTCCTTTGCCGAGGGCAAGCGCATAGATCTGGACAAACGGCTGTGGAGCCTGCAGTGCAAAGAGGGTATCTAGATCGGGAGTGCAAAACAAGAAGAGGATGGCTGTCGCGAAACCAAATATAGCAGTGGCGAAAGCGCTGGTTAGGATGCCCTTGCCCGCCACAGTACTGTGCACGGGTCAGAAATATTCCCAGAGAAATATTCAGCCAACAACGTGCCTCGCATTTTTAGTTTCCTCTGCGATATGACCTGATGCGTCGAAACCTGTCAGAGTGCCCGCAGTGAACAAGCTTCGAGTATGAGCTTCATCCCATCAAGTCTGCGACTAGCTTACAAGGATAGTATCCAATTCCATCCAGCGGGGGCGCCAGTTCCATTGTCTGTGGTGCCGTCAGTTCCGCTCCCATAACTCATGCCGGGGATAATTAACGTACAGGTGGACGTGAACACTTCCTGGGCTGTCCGGAACCCATAGGTTTTCGAGACTCCAATCGGGAGCCAGATCAAGCACAAGAGAAAGTCCACCATGATCAACGCGACCGAAAATCGGAAGATGCCTGAATACCACTTGGGAGGCAAGTAGTTGATGGCCACCGAAATGACAAGCAAAGCCTCAGAAATCGCCCAGACGAAGACCCTCCACTTGATGTTATCGTTGAATGTGCCTCCTGGAAACTCGACTTCCCACACAGCGAGCTGAGAGACAACATAGTTTGCAGTGGTCTGGAAGCCGAGTTAGAAAAGGCTTGGTCAAAAGGCGTACCAGCACACCTGACAGTTCCCCGCAACAAAGGAAGACCATGCAGTGCACGACCACCAAGCAACGATGAAGCCAAAGAAGCGAGCATACTTGGGACCCGCGCTTTCAGCCGCCCAGATGTAGATGGAGCCACTGAGCGGAAGCGCGGAGCAGATTTCGGCAAGTACGGCGGCTGTGATAAGCATGAAGATGATAGTGATGATATATGAGGACCTGCACAATAATTGAGGGAAGACATGAATGGCTCCAGTCAGCATACCATAGAGCTGCAGGGCCTCCCGCCAAAAGTCCGAGAAAGAACGCAGAACTGATGATCGTCAAAAGATATCTTATCTTGACATGAGAGAAGCGCACCGGACACCGCCGACAAAATTCAGAGCACAGAAGCTCGCCGCGAAGCTCTCTATGAGACTCCAGCTACGGTGCAGTTGCTGGTGGCACGTATCAGGACACTGGTCATGACAAGATGAGACTCGCACCTGCTTATATCCGAGTTTTTGCTAATAGGACGTCAGCGATTTCTGCGGAAACTCCCCATGGGGAGTGAAAAAAAAAAGATGACACGCTGGGGGCTTCCCTACGCAGGTATGAACACTGTTCAGGTTCGAGCGGTATTATCTCAATCTTTGCGCTTACTCTACACCGTTCGCACGATGAAGGACAAGCCCGGTCTCGTGGAACAGATGCAGAGCAAGGCAAAGATACCCGCAGCCCAATCCAGTTTGTCATCATGATAGACGTTACCAGTCATGTCCAGTGCGTAGGGTGTGTCCGACTCCCAGGTCGTGCTCTTTGCGGTATGTTTACCAGCTGCAGTTCGTCCCGGTCGAAGCCAGATACGTTCTGTTCGTGATCGTTGAACTCGGAGATCTTCGTATCGTTGGACGACATGGTGAGAGGAAATGAAGAGGGATCAGGATTCGGAATGATGGCGCGCATGCTTTATAGGACAAGGCCGGTACCTCATTTGACAATGATCGCGGACCTTTTTGCGTCATTCGATTTCCACAGTAAGAAAAACAAGACAACGCCCTCGAGATCGACCGTTTCGAGATAAGATAGGATTGAGCAGCGAAGAAATTACAACTATGTGGATGGCAAGATAAAAGCACGACAGTAAAATCCAAATGGCAGTAGAAGCAAATTCCAGGGCATGAGTAAGGTCAGCATTTATCCAAAGTGGAGCCGCGCGCAAAACTGATGGGCTCACAAATCACATCGTCGAGGTTGTGTTGTTGCAAATCGTAAACGGCATGATTCAGTGGGTCTGTAATAAGTCTACCGTGCAGTTGGGTTGGCTGGGCTGATACATGAGAGAGATAGAACCCAAAAGGAACCAGGACACTCGACCAACCTATCATGCCAACTCAGTCTTCAGCCGCGTTGATGTGGCGTTCCATAGCAGATCGGGAGCTCTTTCCATACAGATGTTGCAGAGATTCTCAAGAGCCAGCCAGACTCATCCGGTCATTCAAAGCCCGACATGGATTTGGTAGGTAATAGAGAGCAGCCTACCACCGGGACAAGGTTTCATGCAAAACGAGCATTATCCACACACTCGAGTCTGCACCACGCAATCCGACCGTGGTGTCTTCAGCATGCTGTCCCTGGTCAAAGATGATGGTCCTTGAATCATCTCGAGGCTAACTGAGAGAGGTGGTCCACCACAAGGCTTGTCGCGTGGCGCAGTGGACCCGTCATGGCCGTTTCAATAGCCCTGGTCTGCCAGAAAATGGCTTCCACCTTTCCAACATTCATTGGACTTTTCGCGAGGCATCGTGACAGACGGAATCTATAGGAGCCGCCATAGCCATAGCCATAGCCATAGCCATAGTCATAGTCAGAGCAGTCGGAAAGTAAATATACATCTGGGCAATGGTCCAGGGGAACTCAGGCACTTGAATTGGTATGTGTGTAAGGAACGTGTAAGTGTGAGCATGGAGTGAACTCCGCTTGACCAGTAGAAACAAAGTTATCCTCAGAACCTGAACAGACCCTTCTTCTTCTTCTTCTCCTCCTGGACCGGCGGAGAGCTCGAGTCATAAGAGTTGCCGGGAGACATCCGGGGGGAAGGTGGTGGCCGCGGAGAGGGCTTGCCACCTCGTTCAGAATGAGAGGGCGCGGGGGCGACGACAGCAGCGCGAGGTGGAGGAGCATCTCGGATATAGTATCGTTCGTCATAGAACTCTTGGAAAGGTCTATCGGCACGCGTTTCTCGCAAACCATTGGGAATTGCCTTCGAGCCTATGCCACCTAGCTCCAGAACCTGGAGATCGCTCAGGAACTCTCGTGGAGAATAAGTATGAGTTGATCCTGGAAGGGTTCAGATCCTTGACCTCAGTGAAGTAAAACATTGGCCTCACCGATGTAGATGTCGCGATTCAGCGTAGAAGACAACTGGTACGCTTCCCGGATCTCGGAATATGTCATTCCTCCGGCCACGAACGCAAGCAACCGAGGCCGATTACTTTCAGGCCCAGATCGTGCTGCTTTGATCCATCCGGGGCGCTGACTGCGTAGGGATGTTGTTTGGACGGGCGTGTGAGTGCGAAGACTACCCGATGAAGCCGGTGGAGCATTTGAGGGCTCGTCCCGCACATACGGAAATACCGTCTTGTCAAGCCTGTCAGCGACATGGTCCTGGGCGAAATCAGTTACATCCGGCATGATCGGTGAGTGATCGTACTTCCAACACTGTCTTCAGGAGAGGTTTGAATCGGGAAAGTTCGTATTCTTCATCCGTATTCTTCGACTTTCGCTGAACTAGCTTTCGCTTGATGTCACGATCGCCAGGCCCCTATTCAGAGATGAGCCTCGAATTGCACTTGGGCTACGACCACAAACTCTGCTAATTCGCACTCCCAGATGTACCAGAGCATTGACAGCGTCTTGCTCAGGAACTGACAACCTTGCGTGTTGATACAGCCGCCGACGATCTTCGTCCGGAACTCCATCGCGGAATTGAATGTACAGCGCAACAATTCGGACCTTGTTGGCATTCCTGCGGTGAGAGTCAGGCGCGACTTCGATGACGCATTGACGGGAAGTTCACATGACTTCACGACTGTCCAACAAGGGCACCATGTCCTGCACGAGGTTCTTTGGAGTCTTTCCTTCCACTGTGGCTCCAGTGGCACAGTCTTGCTCGATCCCTGCGACGAGCGGAAGCTTGTCCTGCTCGAACAAAGCCATACATTCTTGTGCCATGTTCAAATGCAACGAGAACTGCACGCCGTCAATCGCGAGAGCGTGAACCGACGTGGAGCTAGTACCTTTTCGCGCTGCTCTTGATATTGCGGGAGACTAGCCAGCATCTCCTTCATGTCGTTGAGACTCGCTGCACCTTCTCTGCAACGAAATGAGCCACGGGGAGCCAGCATTCACGACACGCAACACGACTGACCCATTGAATACAGCATTCTCTTCCAGAAACTTGTTGAAATCTTGCATGAGTTTGTCGATGGCTTCACGCATGTGCATATGGCGAACATCAGTCCACACCGAGTCTGCATCTGTCAGAGTGGCGGTCTTATCCTCGAACGACCCAACCGAGGATTGGAACTTGTACCTGGTTATGTCTGAGTAAGAGCGAATGGGATAAACGATCTGAGTCGGACGTGTATTTGGTGCCCCCCTCGATAGGCAGCAGGTCGTTAGCCATCGCCTGATATGTAAACTCGTGCACCAAAGGTGCTATCATATCCATTGCCCGGTCGGTAATGACGAGGGTCCCCCTCGGCCGAGCCGGTTCCGCCTGTTTCTATCGAGATTTCAGGATGGGACCATGGCAGAGTTGCGAGCAGACCAACTGCGAACTCGGGGTTGGCTTTCTTGTACTCTTCCAAAGCATTTTGTACATGAAAGGCGATGATCTTCGTTGGGAAATCGCCCTCGACTGCTTCGTAAGCTCTGGCCTCGCCGCCCCGAGCAAGATTCGTCCGCCATCGGCCGCTGCTTTCCGGCGGTGGTGGAGGCCGCGTTGTCGCATGAGGCTTTAATGCGCCCAGCGGAAGGTGGTGGGAAGGAACATAGTATCGGATGTAGGGGAACTCATTGAGCGTGATGCACACATTCGCGATCTTGAGTGATCAGTCATTTACATAACTGACAGTTATGAGGAACATACATACCATCTTGCTGACGAATTTGAGCTGCTCTTGAACTCGCGAGCGCGCGACCTGGAACTGCGAATCATTGCGAGGAGGACTATACAATCCAAAAAAGAGTTCAGGCGCTTGAAGGGAGAAGGTTTGTGACTCGGCGGCTGAGAAGTTGTCGGATTTGAGTCCATGGATGTAACGAGATACACGCACGCCAGAAATTAATGAACAGCTCTCTCACTGTTCGCAGATACGGTTCGGCTCGAGAAGTTGCTAGTCGCTCCAATAGGTGCTCATCGAGTCCTAGGTTATGATCAGGGAAAGGATCGGGATAGAATCCGCATGAAGTACCCTCGATGAAGAAGACGTGGGCTGCAGCATACTGTCGTGTGGACCCGAAGTCTTTAGTGATACGGTCCACGTTCTGCGTCGTGGACATTAAGAGATAGAGTGCCTCGAATTCAGGCTGAGGGTCGCGATGTGTGTTTATCGACTCGATGACTGGAACAATCAATCCATGCTGGTGACACCTACGCTCCGGGACGCACGAGTAACATTCTCCTCCAGGATGTCGAACTGCTTCAAGACGGAGCCCAGCAGTTTCTGCGAATGTTCATCTACCACCAAAATCTTCCATCTCCCCGGAGGATTAACTGATCGTATAGCGTCGAGAAATTCTACCAAACGAAATGAGCCCAGTTGGTGCAGTAAAAGGAGAAGCTACGCACTAGAACGGACGGTAGTTATTAATGACGCCATACGAGTGGTCTCGAGAGTTCAGGAACACAAAGGAGGAACTTGGGATGAACAAGAGGAACGTGAATGGCTCACACGCTGCTTAAGCAACTGCGAGGTAACAGTCGGGGCAAAGTTTCAAAATGACGAAAGTAGATTGCATCACTGCTTCCTTCCGCTTGTGGTGAAGATCTTGCAAAATAAGACAGCACTTGTTTGGTATGCAAGCTTGAAGTTGAATAAGCGGTGTATGCTGGATGTGGACTGGTTGGACTTGATTTGAACGGGAGCAGAGTCCTCAACAGGTAGTTACATCAGGTCGAAAGACCAACGAACGAATACATTGCTACTCCAATACAATCTCCATCTCATTGACTTGCCCGTTCCTAGTCGACGAAGAGAAGACGTCCGCACCGGAGGCAAGAGAATCAATCAGAAGAGCAAGGCGAGATGTCCCCAAGTTGGGTTCCTGCGGATTTACTGTCGGACGAGGCAAGACGGTACGAGGAACTGCTAGCTACCTTCAACCGAATCTCCTCTAGATCATCCTTGAAGCCGTCGGCAACAGAGGACATCCAGAATTTCCTGAAGCGCTCCTTCAGTCTGTTTTCTGCATTTTCGTAGTCTGGCGCGTCTGCCGGTGGGAGAAACGACGGTAATGGAACTGATGTTGGGGGAGGAGAAGGTGTGTTTCGCCGCAGATTAGGGGCGTGTGCATTGACAGTGGTCGCAGACTGAGAGATAATTTTTGCCGAGGGAGAAGCATCTCCCTCTGAACTCGAGCTCGAGTCTGAGCTGTCGGAATCAGAACTGTCTTCACTGGAGGACGTTGCCTCGGCAGGTGGTGGAAGGGGTGCAGGTGCCGGTGTTGGCTTAGATGGTGTTGCCTCGGTTTCAGAGTCAGACGAGATCGCCGAAGAATCGGGGGATATTGAAAGAGCGCGTCTTTTTCGTTTTCTGACCCGCTTTCGCGGTGCACTAGTTGATGGAGGCATGAGTAGAGTTCAAGTATGCAGTGCTGATCGGCAATCAAATCTGGACCGAAGTGATAGTCAATCGCTATCTTTTCTCCTCTGATTCTGCACCATGTCTGATAAAATCGTCGGAATCCTCGGTAAAGGCGCGTCGAAGGAGTTGATATATGTGACTTCGAACTGGCTAACGAGTTGAATTTAGTCTTCTGTAGGATCTCCTCAGCAGTGTCTTGATATGACCTGAAGGTGGCGGTCAGCTTGGTCGTATGCTCGCAGCATCGGCGTCCTTGCTCAACATCAAGACGGTAATATTGGATATAGGCAATAATGGTCCGGCGAAACAAGTTATTAGTCCAATCTCTCCGGACCTCAATCACATCGATGGCTCGTTCACCGACCCTGAGCGCATCGCAGAACTCGCAGCCAAGGTGGACGTGCTCACCGTCGAGATTGAGCATGTCGACGCGGACGCTTTGTCGAATCACGCTAGAGGTCGCGAAATCCACCCCAGTCCAGCCACGATCAAGCTCATCCAGGATAAATATGCGCAGAAACAACATCTCAAGACGAAAGGGTGCCCAGTATCTGCCTTCATCCCTGTCGAATCATCTTCGCAGTCGATAGAAGAGGCTTCCATCTCCATGGGACTCCCGCTTATGCTGAAGAGTCGGACGCTGGCCTACGACGGTCGTGGAAACTTCGTGATGAAGGATGTGGGCCAGGCTGCAGACGCCTTAGCAGCTCTAGGAAACCGGCCGCTGTATGCAGAGAAGTGGGTACCCTTCACGCACGAGATCGCGGTGATGGTCGTACGAAGCACAACGGGAGAGATCAAGTCATATCCTGCTGTCGAGACCGTGCATAAAAACAACATATGCCATTTAGTGTTTGTGCCGCTCCGTTCGAGAGACGCGACGCTTTCTCGCAGGGCTCAGAAGATCGCGGAAGATGCTGTGCAGACTTTTGACGGCGCTGGTGTTTTTGGCGTGGAGATGTTTCTCATGGAGGACGGTGAGTGGCTGTGACGAGGTCGTATCTGCGTACTCATGTCTCTCCTCCAAGGGACAATCTATATCAACGAAATAGCTCCCAGACCCCATAACTCGGGTCACTACACAATCGAAGCTTGCGAAACTTCCCAGTACGAGAATCACTTGCGGGCCATCCTGTCGCTTCCGCTCGGGTCTACCGAGCTCAAGGTCCCGTCTTCGGCGATGCTCAACATCATCGGTCTTTCGACGTCCATGGATGAGATCCGTGCTTTGAATGAAGCTGCATTGTTGGTTCCCGGTGCCAGTGTTCACTTGTACGGCAAATCGGAATGCAGGACAGGACGCAAAATGGGTCACATAACTGTCGTTGCTGAATCGGATGCAGAACTGCGCAGCCGACTCAGGGTCCTACTCAAGGCACTTCCGTCCAGCCCAGTGTCTGAAACGGATCTCTACGCTCCCTCGCCACCAAACCCTGGATACTCTCACGCGCATCCTCTAGTCGGGATCATCATGGGCTCTGACTCTGATCTTCCGGTGATGCTTCCTGCTGCGGGGATTCTGGATCAGTTCGAAATCCCTTACGAGCTGACAATCGTCTCCGCTCATCGAACGCCGAATCGGTTGGTTGATTATGCTCGCTCTGCCTCGGCGCGAGGATTGAGGACCATCATCGCTTGTGCCGGCGGAGCCGCACATCTGCCTGGGATGGTTGCCGCCATGACGGCGTTGCCGGTAATTGGTGTGCCTGTCAAGGGCAGCACCCTGGACGGCGTTGATTCACTGCACAGCATTGTGCAGATGCCGGTGCGTGTGCAGATATCTTTCTGATTGTTCTGGATCTCAAGCCTTGTCTTCAGCGAGGAATTCCTGTCGCGACTGTCGCCATCAACAACGGGACAAACGCAGGCCTTCTCGCCGTGCGTATATTAGCAGCTGGAATTCCCCGACTAGTCATTTCGATGGAACGGTATCTGAAAAACCTCGAGACAGAAGTGCTCGGTAAGGTCGAGACTCTGCAAGAAGTAGGATGGGAAAAGTATACTGTCCAGAAGTAGACTTGAGATAAATCTACCATGCACTTGGCATACAAGTTCAAGTCGCTCAGATGGATGCATCCATCCAATGCTGTTCAGGCGATAGAGGCACTCCGTCGAGCTATCTAGAAAAGGCCAGAATGCGAGATGCGAGTCTAAAGGACTGAAATGCAGGGACATCTGAGCATTCACGCGTCTTCGTCTGTATTGGAAACAAAGAACAGATCATCAGGAGGCTGTAGCACAACCAACAGATGATTTGACCAAGAGAGAGCATCTCACATCTTTCTTCAGGTTTCAAACATCCATACTCGGTATAGATTTCAGATCGTTTGCCGTAGGCGTATCTGCAAATCGCAGAGAGCGCACAAAGTCCTGAACAAAGTTATGAGCAGGACAAGAGGGGGCCAGGGTGGATCAACCGGAGACGTATCCTATCCCCGTATTCCTCCAGGACGCATCTCTTGTGCACAGGATCGTAACATTCAACTCGGAGGGGCGGGGAGCGAACACAACGTCGACACAACCTCCCCATCCTGATAATGATATGTAGGTTTTTAGATCTAGGATCGGCGATCATTCAACACTAGTGACTACATCGAACAGTGCATCGAGGAACCTCTTTCCTACTGCCACGACGTGCGCGGGACCGAATGATCCTACTTCTAGCCCTTGTCTCTTCCCTTTTCCTGGGCAGATGTTCCAGTCAATCCGCCACGAGCTCTTACCCTCATGCATATCCTGGAATTCCTAACGGAAGCTACGGGCCTAATTGGCAGCATTGTATGTGCTTGTACTGCCGAGTATCTGCGCACCGCCCACTCGATCATCCCAACGCATATTGCCAGACTTTGAAGTGACTCAAACCTTGCCGAACGTGTCTACCACACTCTCGCGAAGCTATGCAGGAAATGTTGCAGTGGACCGCCCCGGTCATCCTAATGATACTCTATTCTTCTGGGCATTCGAAAAGAGCAACGGCTCGTTAATTGCGACGTCTACCACGGACCCTTGGATCATATGGCTCAATGGTCCGTGAGTATTACGCGTGCGAGTGCATACCGTGACCCATTTCAAGGTGGCCCTGGCGCGTCTAGTCTCCTCGGGTTCATGGAGGAGGTCTTTCTCTTCATTTCACTTGCCGGAACCCATCTCAGTGTCAGTTAGAATGGGCCTCTCCGTATACAACCTGATTCGTCTATGGCCGTAAACAACTATAGCTGGCACAAGTTGGCAGACACATTCTGGATCGACCAGCCCGGTCAATCTCTTCTGATCTCTACCTACGTCACCCGTTCTAATTTCTGTGAACAGTCGGTGTTGGTTTCTCTACTGCAGACACAACAGGATACGGTGAGCAGATTAGCTTTCTCATGCTCTCGGACACGAGTATTGAGAATTAGTTGTCGACGAGGATCAAATGGCCGAAGACTTTGTCTGTGGTCCTCTTGACCTTCCGACCGGGGAGCTCACTACAGTTCAGACTAGATTTCTTGCAAATCTGGTCAAGATATTCCCAAGTCTGGCGAAACGGCCGCTCTATCTCATGGGGGAGTCCTATGCAGGAACCTATATCGTATGTTCCCTTTCAATTAGGGGGGCATCTCTGACGCGCTCAGCCGTATATCACGAAAGCACTCTTTTCCACCTCCCATCCTCCCGTCAACCTGAAGAAGATGGTTGTGGGCGATGGGACCCTGGGCTCTTCCGGAATTTTTGAGAATTTGCCAACAGTGCGCTTGACAGACTACTTGAGAACGGCTTTGATCAGTTCCCAGCTAACTACCATCGAAACCTATCCTCAACTCATCGGGTATGACACCGATGTATACCAGTTCTTCAAGACTCAGTAAGTTCAGCATCCCGACAGAACGTTCGACGTGCTTACCTCCTAGATCTCATTTGTGCGGGTATGACATCAATCTCACTTACCCGCAGAACGGGCCCTTTCCCACCTATCAATACCCAACGCAAACCGGCAGTTCGCAAAGAGATCCGTCGAAATTCCGGTCGCGTCTAGCCACATCATATATCAAGACGCTAGCATCTGGTATAACCCATCAGCCTAAGCAGGGAGAAGTCCGAAGTTGGGAGAATCGGAAACGGGATCTCAGTGGAAGGGCGAATGGAACAATCGATCCTTGGTACGAATGCTTCATCTTCCAAGAAATGTGGGATTATGCCTTCAATTTTACCTTTCCGTGGAAACTCGGCGGAACGGATGTCTATGATATCCCGGATGGCCTCAATCCAGAGGTCACTTTGGATCCCACGCTGTTTTTCAATGGTATGTTACTACGAGATGGCTTTCACTGCAGTCTAATCGTCAACAGCACATGACGTCCGATCTGCCTTGCACGCCCCGACTTCTAAAGATTGGTCTGAGACGATTAATTATCCATTCAGTGAGCGTCTTCGGATCCTACTCATTTTGCAACAAACAAACCGGTTGACAGAGGCGGATGCAAACAATGCTAATAGTTTTGGAGATCCCAGTCCTGAGTAAGAGTCATGCCAATGCCCAAATCCATAAGATGATTACTCCTGGCGCACAGACCGATGGTGTTCCTTTCTGAGCTGGCTACAAATGCCAGTGCTCGAGGGGTCGGCATCGTTTTCTATTCTGGCAATGATGATTCTTTGGTTGCCCATCGGGGTACCGAAGGTGGGCGATGAATTCTGGATGCTGTGGCTTAGGAACTAACGTTGCTGCAGTCGTCATACAGGTCGAATAATGAACTTTCTCTTCAGCCTCACTTTCTGATTGCTCTGTAGAACATGACCTTCGGGGGTATCCAGGGATTCACACGCCGTCCTTCCACTCCGTTTTTCGATGACAATGGAGGCTACGCGGGAATCGTGCACCAGGAACGTAATCTGACCTTTGCCCTTTTCAAGGGTGCAGGACATTTGGTTCCTCGAGACCAACCAGCCGCTGTTCGTAACTCAATCACAAGCCTCTCACGACCTCACGATCTACAGATCTATGCCTTCGTGCGCGAATTTGTGCTGGGCTCGAACACAACTGGACTGGTGACTGACTCTGGAGTCATCGGAGGAGAGGATGCGTCTTTGTGGTCTGGCGATGATGTCATGGCTGGGAGTGTCGCCATTTTTTACGGAAATGGGCAGAACGGGCAAACGACTGCTTCCGTGGTTGCTCCTAGTGCAACTATCGCCACGTGGAATGCTTTCATGAGCAGTGCGAACGTTCTCTCTGCATCGGCATCCAGTACGAACAGTGTCGGTGCCAGACCTACAAACGCCGCAACTCACAACAGATTTTCGCCCTTCCCCGTTGTTTGTTTTCTCGTATATTGGATGTTGACTTGATATCTCATTGTTTATGTATTTATGTATCGTTTTTCTTCACAGTCGCGTTTGTGACCATTCGCGGTCACATGTCTGTCTTTGCACCGAAGACCAACCGTGTCAGTGCCACGGCGTGGCGCCGAGCCACGAATGAGACCACACCGGGGGCTGTTCATCACACCGAGATGACTGGGGCTTTCAGCCGGGCCTAGCTCGACATCCGAGCAAGTACGCGTCGTCGATGGTTGGCGAGAGCGGTCAAGGCCCTAGTAGACCTGCCAAACTCGATGGCCTGATCTCCGGAAAATACCAAGTGGTGTGTTTCTGGAGAACCCTCAAAAGGCTCGAGCGACAGGACTTGTGTCCACCAACACGGGCCCTGAGCAAGTCTCTCGCGACCATGAACATCACTTCTCCCTCTCACACTCTGTACGATGCGGCCCAGTTGTCCTCTGCCTCCTGGCTGGAGCAGCAGTGGGCGGCTTGGTATATGTGGGTCGGAAACCCTGTCCTTGCAACTGGTCTAATGAGCTTTCTCCTCCACGAGGTCTGTGCGTCGTCGACATCCGCGCTCACTGCTTGACGCTCTACAGATTGTGTATTTTGGTCGCTGCGTACCGTGGATAATTGTCGACGCTATCCCTTATTTCCGTCGCTGGAAGCTTCAACCCAATAAAATCCCCTCGGCAAAAGAGCAGTGGGACTGCACCAAACAGGTTCTGTACTCCCACTTCATGGTCGAACTTCCTGTGGTACGTTACGAGGCCATGCTTATCCACATGTGTTCAATGACTCTCACTCAGATATGGTTGTTCCATCCTATGGCTGAAGCGTTTGGCATGCGCACGTATGAAATCCCCTTTCCCCATTGGAAGGAGATGCTCCCTCAAGTTGGCATGTTCTTCGTTTTCGAGGATATGTTTCATTTCTTCGCACATTCGGCTCTTCACTATGGAGCATTGTACAAGCACATTCACAAGGTCCATCACAAATATTCGGCTCCTTTCGGTCTGGCCGCTGAATATGCGCACCCTGCTGAAGTCGCTATCCTGGGTGCAGGGACGATTGGCGGCCCTGTCATCTACTGCATGTTTACCAATAACTTGCACATCGTGACCGTGTACATTTGGATCGTTCTCAAGCTGTTCCAGGCAGTTGATGCGCACAGTGGATATGGCAAGTGTCTTGTTTTCGATTAGCGAAAAAAGGTCTGAGCATGATTACTCGCCAGATTTTCCCTGGTCGCTGCAGCACATCCTTCCGTTTTGGTCTGGGGCTGAACATCATGATTTCCACCACATGGCCTTCACGAACAACTATGCCACCTCGTTCCGATGGTGTGACCGCCTCTTTGGCACGGACGACAAGTATCGCGCTTACAGAGCCCGGGTTGAGGCTGCGAAAAAGGCTATGAAGAACGCTTCCAAAGCGGAACATGACGAGTTGGAGCGCAAACTCATGGCCGAAGTTGAGGCAGAGGGCGTGCGAGCTGAAGCAGAGCTCATTCGCCGAACTGCGAAGGAAAAGAGAGACTAGCTGGATTAGATATTCTCATTTACTGTATCACTTTTTGAATTATGGAACGAGTTACTTGCTACAACGGTAGTGGACCTGCCCAGGGAATTGAAATGTAACAAAGTGCCAGGGTCAGTGTCTTGGAAAGAGGCGGACTCACGCGCCGCGCAAACATAATTGTTCCAACTTGGTTGTCCGCTGCAAAACAGACCAGTATCAGGTCGAAATAAGAGCTCTGACGGTGAATGACTGGCGTATGGTTTAGATCAAGGCGCGATTCAGTTGATTGATGTTTGTTCTAGCTCCCTCTCATTCACGACCCAGACCTGCCGGCACCTGAGGAAGGCAAGGCGTATTGTCTTGCGCGTCTCTATTCTGCATGCTGATCCAACTGTTGCAACTAGCTTCAGGCGAATCAGTCAACGTTGGATGGATCCGTCGGCACCATTGACGAATGGCAACGGTATCGACCACCAGCCTTCACCTACTCCGGCCACAGTCCCCTTGGATCCAGAAATATTCCGTGCTTACTTCCGCGGCCTTTTGCCCCCCGTCATTGGAGCAAATCCAGGCGATGTAGAAGCTCTATTCGATGAAACCTTCGATGACCGTGTCGCCAAGTTCGCATCGGAACCCAACGCGACTCTTTATGTTGTGAAATCAAAGTTGGATACGGAGGAGGAGATCGAAGGTGTGTCTAGTATCGTATGCGGAGCTCTGCGGTATAACATTCATCAGACGAATCTCTTCTATACGAATACGTTCTGGCTTCACAACTCACGTATCACCCCTCACATGTTACGACACTTGCACTTATGAAACGAAGTCCGGTCCTCGACCCTTCAGCTCCACTGGGCTCTCAAATACATTTTCTCAACTTGTTTGGAGGGGAGGAAACACCTTACGAGAGTTTGCATGCCATCGTGTCGTTCGGCGTCAAACCTTGGTTTGAGTCGTTTGTTGGAGCGAGGGGAGCCAGCAGAGATTCGGGCGACAGCAAGATGGGTATTCCGATGACAAGAAAGAAGTTTGCGGAACTGGAGCTCTCTCTGCTGCATCTCCAGCAAAACGTCGAAATTCCGGAGACCCATCTCGCTATTCATCCCGTTATCCAACGCGCAGTCGAACAGGTTTGCCTCAATTATGTACTGGGATGCGGCTTTCCTTACACAGCCTTCAGACTGAGGCTGCTGGCACCCGACCGAGCATCAACGATATTCCCCCTCATTTGCTGAACGACAGCACATTCCTAAACTCTCTACATGCCAATGTCAACTCGTGGATCAAATCAATACAAGCAGTGACGAAATTGACGCGCGATGTCACTTCGGGCACTGCATCGCAGGAAATCAATTTCTGGCTGAGCTTGGAACATGAATTGGAGGGTATCGACACTCAGCTTCAAAGCAAAGAGGTCAATATGGTCATGGAATGTCTTCGAAACGCGAAACGATTTCGTGCCACAGTCAGTTTTCTAGCTGATACGGGTCTGAAGGATGCGATGGATCTTGTGCACAAATACAACCAGCTCATGAAGGATCTTCCTCTGAACGAGCTTTTGTCTGCTACTGACCTGGCCAAGATCGATGAATCCATTGGATTGATCTTTGGTCATATCAACAAGAAACTCAAGCTCTCTCCGTACCCTATCCGCCGGGCTCTCCCCCTCGTCGAGGCCATATCGCGCGATTTCAACGACCAACTACTTCGCATTCTGACGTCACAGCGACTGGCATACACACCATACGAAACTTTCGACCGTCTCCTGGGCCAAGTGACGGCCATCTTCCGCAAATGGGATGACCTGATCAAGGAGTTCATGAATGTCGCTCGAGAAGCCATGCGAAAGCGGGCGGAACGGTTCATTCCTATCAAACTTGTCAATGCACATGCCAAGTTGCAAGAGAGGACACGATACCTACGAGATTGGCGAAAACAGCACGAACAATTGGCTGTAATGACAGCACCGACCCGCGGAATCGGTGGTAATATCATGGATATGGGCATTGGGGGGATGGACATGGAAGAAGAGGTGAAAGAGGCTTATGAGATCGTGAAGCGCATCGACGTACTGGACGTGTCGATTGAAGGCACGGAAATATGGGTCACTGCCGAAAATGCGTACAATGAGCGAGTTGCTCGCGTCGAGAACCAGATCATTGCACGTCTACGAGATCGCCTTGGCACTGCTCGGAATGCCAACGAGATGTTCCGAGTTTTCTCAAAATTTAATGCACTTTTCGTTCGACCGAAGGTGTGTCGTCCCCTGTACGATGCATCGCCGTGTCTCTCATGCAGATTCCAGATCCGAGGAGCCATCCAAGAGTATCAAACCCAATTAATAGACTCCGTCAAGGAGGATATCAAACGACTGCATGACAAGGCATATTTGTCCCTCAATGATCATATACGCTCCTGATTTCTTCGCAGTTCAAGACGCGATTTCGGGACTCTGAAGCTTCACACATGTCGCAGATGCGAGATCTGCCAGCCATTGCCAGTGCAATCATATGGGCACGGCAGATTGAACGTCAGCTGTTGACGTATATGAAACGAGTAGAGGACGTCCTGGGCAAAGGTTGGGAGCTGTATGCTGAAGGCCAGAAGCTGCAATCGGAAAGTTCGGCTTTTCGAAAGAAGCTGGACACGCGACCGGTATATGACGCATGGTTGCACGACATCAACCGGCGGAATATGGGTGTCGATGGGCGGTTATTTGAGATCATTCGGCCTCGCGGCGGGGCTGCTCTGTATCAACTTGCCGTCAACTTCGACCCGCAGATCATCACTCTGTTCAAGGAAGTCCGGAATCTGCTCTGGCTCGGTTTCCAGGTTCCTCACGCGATCACCAACATGGCGAAAGATGCAAAGCGGGTCTATCCGCACGCAGTCAGCCTCATGGAGACTGTGCGAACGTATGGCCAGACGCTGGATCTGGTCGAGGAGAACAAGGGCATCGAATGGTTGGTGGCCGAGTATCGAAATGAATCTCAGCGCATGATCGGCAAAGGTGACTCCCAGTGTCCTTGTCTGTCTCCTCCTGCTGACATCCAGCAGGCATGAACATCAAATGGGATTATTTTGTCAACCAGTACGACTCTACAGCTCGTTACTCGACCGTCGACGGGCGTGACAATCGCCACATCCAGTTCGTGCGCGAGTTCGCTAGTGTGATCTCTGTGTTGCAGGACAAGACCAACAACGTCATCGACTTGTACAAAGATATACTGCGAGCAGTGGAGGATCTCGCTTCGTGCTCATTCACGACAGAAGCATTCTCTGAGCTGTTGGGCAAGGTTCAGACCGCGATTGACCAGCTCAATCTGGGTGGATATGCCAACCTCGACCAATGGGTGGCAGAACTCGACAAGCGAATTGAAGGCATCCTGCTCCAGAGATTGGTCCAGATTGTACAAGTGTGGTGCGATCAATTTGACCGTACCGCCGACGACAGCGACCTCACCAGTCGCAATGTCTTGCGAGATATCACGAATAAGCGTCGCGGAGACAAGCGTCAGAAAGAAGAGAAGGTGTGTGCGATGCCTTCTTTTCCAAGTAACATCGCCCTGATCCAATCAAGTTTCTGGAGGCGAACATGATGCTCATTCCAGTTGTCCATGAAATTCGCATTCAGAACCAAGTCATCTTCCTGGATCCGCCAATAGAGCATGCCCGAGCAAACTGGATTCGGCAACTGCACGATTGGTTTGGTGTAGTATGTCGTCTTCGGCGTATCCAGAGCTCACGCTACGAAATCGGCTTGCAAATGCAAGGCAGCCATGTTACTGAGACGAACTATACGGCCCTGGTATACGTTCCGTACTCCTTCGGTCCTACTGAGCGCTGACTTCCGTCGCAGCTCCGACAATTACCGGAGCATATACTCCAGCGGCCATTCGCATTGATCGAGTCTAAGGTCCAGCAGCTGACTGAATATGTTGGCAAGTGGCTACAGTTCCAGTCACTCTGGGATCTTGAAGCCGACTATGTGTTCAATCGTCTGGGCGATTCACTCGGTCATTGGCAACAACTTCTCACAGAAATCAAGAAGACCAGATCGACCTTCGACACTTCGGAGACCCAGAAGTCGTTCGGGGTTTGCATCGTGGACTATGAGCAAGTTCAGGCCAAAGTCAATGCCAAGTATGATTCTTGGCAGCGAGATATCCTGAGTCGTTTTGGTGTCAAGCTGGGCAACGCTATGAAGGAAATGCATGCATCCATATTGAAGGCCAGAAATGATCTCGAGCACCATTCGATAGAGGGACTGACTGGCGGCGCGCGACGATTCTAACATTTTGCGGATACCATGGATATGTATTTTTCTAGTAATGTCGAGTAATGTCTTGTGAGGTTTGGTGTTCCTCCAATGATCTTTGGTGCATCAGATTCTCATAGGGTTAAGGTTAACACGCTCACCCTCTCTTTCTCTGAAAACGATGAATCGCAACCCGGGCCAGCAACGACCGGCAGCTCAGCCGCAATACAGACAAAATCCGCAACAAACATCTACGCAAACTGTACCAGGAGCTGCTGGATATCCCCCTTATGGAATGCCTCCAAGAAACGTTCTCGGCACGCCAGGATATCTGCCTCAGCGCGTCCCGTTAGGCACCCCGTTCATGCAGCCGCGCGCTACGAATGGCGCCAACAATGGTGGAGCATCTGGCGCTTTTCCTTTCGGTCTCTCGCACACAGGCCTCCCCCCGCATCTGCAACAACAACAGCAACCTCCACAACATCCAATAGGTGGCAGCACCGATGCGGCTTTGGACCTCAACGACTTCCCTGCGCTCGGCGCACCTTCGAGTACTTCGAGTGTGAATGGTGCAAATGGGAGCAATTCCACAGGCACACCGCAAATCACGTCCAGTTATGCATCGGCTGGCTCCGCACCTCAACCTACTCACGTCGCTCCATCGCGGGATTTGACCCAAGACGACTTCCCTGCTCTGGGGGAGAATACAACGTCTACATCGAATGCTACGGCAGTGGCGGCGAACGGGACGGGAGGGCCTCCGGGGCTTTTTGGGAATGCTGGAGGGGCTGCAACGATTCCTGGGATGCTGAATCTGAGTGGGATCAACCTCATGGGTGCTAGGCATACAGGTTCCTTCGACGAAAAACGGGTGCGGAATCTTTTCTCAACTTTTGTGCTCGGGCCCTCAATCGCATCCCAATCCAGCATACAAATCCACCGAATCCAGCTCCGCCGAATGCAGTGTCGACACCCTTTCTCCAGGTTAAATCTAGTGCGAACACACCGGCTGCATCCAGTCAAAACATTTCGAGCAATGCTTTGAACACACCCGCATGGTCACATGCACCAGCTCCAAGCTCGACCTCGTCAATAGCAACAATCACGCCGCTGAACCCGACTGCCACACAAGGGTTTCCTGAGAGTGGAAGCAGCAATGCCGGCATACCGGCGGTCAGTGCACACTCAAGCACCGGCACTGCTGCGCTATTACAATCCCAAGCTCAAGCAGGCGCAGCGACACCCCCTACGCCAGCACATCAGGTGCTAGTGAGCGCAGCAGATCGCTGGGGCCTCCTTGGGTTGTTAGCGATGATCCGGGAATCTTCAGACGCAGATTTCGATGTGTCGAGCGGAGCGCGAAGAACTGGAGACTCAAGAGTCCGGCTGAGCAGTATAGGAACCGATCTGAGCAGTATGGGCTTGGACATGAACTTCCAAGGCAACTTATATTCCTCTTTTATCACGCCTTGGGCGGACCAAAACGCCGTCCACGCCGTTGAGCCCGATTTCCATCTTCCAGCTTGCTACGCAGCAGTCCATGCTCCACCTCCAGGACCCAGCAAAGCCAGCGCTTTCAGCGACGAGACTCTCTTCTTCATGTTCTACTCCAGTGCTCGTGATGCTCTTCAGGAAGTCGCTGCTCAAGAGCTGTATGTTTCCTTCTGGGGGCTTTTTGGTTGGCGGCTGATCTATGACTCGTAGATGGAACAGAAACTGGAGGTACCACAAAGAGCTCCGAGTATGGATAACGAAAGAATCCGGCACAGCACCGAGTACCAAAGTTCCGGGAGGAGAGCAAGGATTGTATACGATCTGGGATGCCGACAACTGGGTCAAAGAGCACAAGGAAATGAGCGTGTTGTACGCTGATCTCGAGGAGAAAAACGTGCCTGCGTTTGCTGCCGGGGCAACGCTTGTGCCCGTAGGCCAGACTGCTCCTCCACCGAGTCAGACACAACAACAGCGAGGCTTTGGCATAACCATGTAGTTTGAATCCTGCCACTTTTGTTCTCTTGTAACTTCACCCATTGTGACTTCAATCATCCACATTACTTTGTTCCATTGTCACCCGATGAACGCATTTGTGCGCATAGTGATCGCATTAGTGTACGAAGAAGACAAGCTTATCTGCGCAGATATGTACTTAGCGTCCATTGCCACTCATCTCAATATCCCCGCTCCGGATTCGGAGGGTATCCCCGGCCACGGGCCTGGCCCTGCTGTTGCCCGTACGGATTGAATCCGCCACCATACAGCTGACCGCCGCTGACGCCGCCAACCAGACTAGCGGGCGCTCCACCATGGAAGTTGCTCGCCGTATCCTCTTCGGAGTAGTTGTAATGGGTCGTACCAGGAACTCCGTACTCAGCTGGACCCGTCAACAGCGGATCTTTGACTTCCCATACTGCTGCCTTCGATCCGACAGAGAACTCCAAGTCTTCCCTCTATAAAACAATCAACCATCTGAGAGAAACGGCAGATAGCAGACGCACGGTGATAGAGTCCCAGTATTTGTATATCATCATCACGCTCAAGAGCATACACAGAGTGAAAAAGAACAGGCCGTCGATGTAGTGCTTGATGGCATTGCAGATGGTCACACTGAAGCCGAAAAGGAGTGCCTGGGCCGCGCCAAAGAACACCGCACCAAAGACGATATCACCGATGGGCCATCTGTCATCCAACGTCCGGAAGACAAGGACCAGCTGCGATACGATGTAAATGACGGCACAAAGGAGAGGCCACAGGATGTAGATGATCCATAAAGCGACCGGCTTGGTGTTGCTGAATCCGGCAAACTTCTTGAAAGTGGCGATGGAGATGAAGAAACCGACTGCAAAGACGACCAAGCAGGATATTCTTAAACCCTGAGCGGAATTAGTGGGGGAAGTATCAGCTTAGCTGGGGAACAAACCCATAGAGAGAGAGGTGTCCCATCCTCGGCGAATTGGAAACCGACGAAGCCGTTGATGAGGATGCAAGCATAGGCCCCGGCAACCAGGCCCGTGTAAATAGCTGCGAACCACTGTCGTGCGACGTAAGTCGGATGATATCCCAGACTAACACCAACGCACAGGATATACTGCGTTAGATGTGGGTATAATTCCCGAATCGAGAAATATGGCGAGGAGCTCGATGATAGCATACATGTAGAAGAATGTGACAATCTCCTTCCGACCTGGAGCACCGAATTAGCGAGGAAAGAGAGCGGGTTTGTGGGCACTCACCAACTGCAGTGTATTTGCTGCGAATATGCAGGATCATTATGATGGTCATTATTATTGCGACGATATGCACAAAAACCGTGGCTGGGTGCAGTCAGATCTTGAATCAGCATTGCCAAGCGAGTTGTCCCATACAAGGTTGGAAGATGAGAGTTCCTCCGATATCCACATTTCTGCTGTAACACGAGGGCTCTATTCCCTGGTCCCCGCCGATGAGAGGGCAAATGACGAGGGCAGCGGTTTCACAGATGGAGTTGAAGGATCCAAATTGGATTCCCATCGTGAAAAGAAAGACGTAAGGAAGGAGACGGTAGAGTTGGTCAAGCCGTAGTCGAGGCCAGCCGTCGCTGGACTAATGGCAGAGGGAGGGCGTCGTTGGTAAGAGGAAGGAAGGTGGCAGTCACGTCACTGTGATGGCCGTCAAAGTCGGCATCGCCACTCCACATGACATGCTCTTCGGCCTGGTACCAGTGGGAGGTCGGCGAAGGCCTCATCTGGAGCATTGCCCAGTGACTCCTGCATACATCCGGTCTCGCAGAGTACCCGATATTCAGACGCGAGCTTGTGATGCTTGGTAGATATATATCTAATACATACGTGCGTGGACTGGTTCACACCACTCGTACTCGACAAAATCAGTCCAGATGAACCGTGTCAGGAATCCCTCAGTACAACATCATGACCACCGTCAAGAAACCCAGGTCGGATCGGATGCAATACAGAGGTGAACTCAAAGGACCGCATGGAATTCGTCATAAGTATTAGCATGGAGAGAATGTGTGCAAGCATGCAATGGTACAACATAAGACGGCTACGATCTGTTTAGATGAAGCCGATCTAGGTAGACTTTAGGATCTGTCAAATGGCATAGAACTACTGCCACACACCTTGTTGGCGACGTCCAAAGCATCGTGGTCGGCGGTCAGACGGACGTAAGCCTTTTTCTTTCCATCTGGGCGGATAAGGGTGTTAATCTTGGCCGCGTTCACGTCGTACAACTTCTTCACTGCGTCTTTGATCTGACGCTTGTTTGAACGCAGGTCGACGATGAAGACCAGGGTGTTGTGCTCCTCAATCTTCTTCATTGCCGACTCCGTGTTGAGGGGCCTACAATGCGTCAATGTCTTGAAGGTCGATAGGTTCCGCTGAAACATACGAAACGATCGTTCGGAACTGATCCATTCGAGGAGCATGGGGGATGGAACGGCGGGGGTACTTCGGCTCCCGAGGCAGACGAAGAGTTTTGGGGCGATGGAAGGAGACAGAGAAACGTTGCTTGCGCTTCGCAGTTCCATTCGCACCCTGGAGGGCGGCCTTTTTGGCGGCCTTCGCCTTAGTGTCCTTTGCCGGAGTCTTTCCTTTCGTCGTCGCCATTGAGTCTAGTCTGAAATCAGCATACACAAGTCGAAAAGATCGTCAGGCAGTAACCCTGTCTCGCCGAAGCAGAACGCACCTTGAGAGGCGGGTGAAGGGGTCTTGAGGAGCTGCGAGGACTTAGCCAAGCGAAATACTACCTGTAGTGTTTGTTGCTTACCGAAAAGTCGAATTTTGCGTTGACGTGTCACGTGCTTTTCACGTGAAACAGTACAGGTACTGGAACATCACCGCCCTGACGGCGCCTGTTCTACGCGCAACGCGCTTCGGTGCTCTTGTGAACTGCATGAATAAATTTTGTTGTAATCTTGGTAATGTTTTTGCGACAATTAGCGTCGTCCATGCACTTGATCTGCAACGCTCTACGTAGTTCATATGAGCAGTCGCAATGCCCAGTCTCACATTTGTTGAAGCAAAGCTCCTTTGACATATGTTGTGAGCTGTGCAAGGAAGTTCTGCTACACCATAGTTGTCCATCGAAAAATTGTAATAGATCAAGAACGACGCCCGATTTCTCAAGGGCTAGTCACAAATTAGATATGCAAGCCAGCCGTCCATAGTAGGTGGCGCCGAATACTTGGAGGACACTCGTTGAGACTAATATAGAGGATGGAAGCGAGTCTAAGCATTCGCACCGCAGGCTACCATTCGGCATCGGCTTCGCCGCCGTATCGCTTGGGTAGCTGATCAGCAGCGACGTGAGGAAGCAACTGTTTGCCGATTGACTGAGGGCTGGTGCCAGCAACGGTCATCTTTGCAAATGTTGCAGCAGGTAGCAGAGGCTTGAACATCCAGAACAGCACGTTCATGAACGTCGGAACATTGACAAAGAACTTTCGATACTGGTTGTCCGTCAGAAACCAGCATGCAGATATTCGTGAGAGACAAACCAAAAGTTCAGGATAATGGGAGGAGAAGATGGCGCTTGCCTGCGAAGCGGCGCTCTTTGACTCGGGTGTTCTGCTAGACATACTTACACCGGCATAGTCTGCGACCTCGGGTGATCAGTGAGAGGTAATGATCCTTGCCCTGAGCCTGAGCTCACCGTGGACTTGCAGGGCTTGGTCGACGGTTTCAAAGTCAATCATGGTGAGACACTTCTCCATAAAAGCCACCCGCCATCGCAGAAACCTGTTCACGTCGCCAAACACAGCTTGAATGTCGGAATTTCCTCCGTAAACATTGTATCTGTGCAGTTAGAATGAGAATCGATCACACATTCGCGCATGAAGAAGCTTTATACACCACGGGGCGACCAGCTTTGTCGCGGCCATAGATATGACCCAACTGGCCAAACACATCGGAGGGAAACTCCTCCGTCATGGCTGCCTCCACGTTGAACTCCTGTCGCCATAGAAGGGTCGAGATGAACATCTCATTGGCGGCCGGTACGTCAAGATTCCTTCAGGATATAGATGAGCTCAAGATCAGTGCGGTGGACTTTGAAAATTCGACCTTGCTCGAAGAAATTTCATCAGGACGACGCTCACACGAGCATCGAGCAAGTCTGCGGGGTCAATTTGCACACCCCATAGCTTGACCGGCTTAGTCTTCGCGTCAGCCCTGCCATATGCGGAGACAAGAGATTCTGGAAGCAATGTCTGCACAGAGAACTTGAACAAAGGGGATTTCCGAGTGAAGGAACTTTGGGTACACGGAACTCTGTCAACGCCTTCCATTCATAGCCTGTGAACTGCTCTGTCAGCTTGTTCTGTGGTTCCGTCTTCTCAGAACTGGAGATTTTCGCGGGTGACGAAGAAGCAGGCGCATTCGATAGCGAGTCTGAGTTAGCTGGTATTTCGACAGTTGTAGCAACGTCAGACATCGTGGTAGACTTGGAAGTTGTATGAACTTTGTGGAAAGCAACCTTGAAGTGACATGTCGGCTTTCTCCGGATCACTCCACAAGTTCACCCCGTACTGTCCCACTGAAGTCCGGATGACTTTAGACCAGCTTCCTCCAGAACTCCTCATACTTCTACCATTTCACCTGGACACGATCAAAGACGTTCTTTCACTTTCGAGCTGCTCACGAGCCCTGTATCTCTCATGCAGTCATCCTGACGATCGCGTTATTCCACGGCTCGCAGCTGGATCCGGAGAGTCTTTGTTCAGACCGCATCCAAACCTCCTTACTGCTGCCATGGCACGAAAGCTCGCGAATTGGGCGGTCGACGGTGACTCAGAAAACCGGCGCTATCGTTTGGAGGTCGCCATCCAGAATGGTGTGGAGGGCTTGCTCAGCCTCATGGTCGATGTTGTGACGCTTTCCATGGTGGAAGTACGTGCATTGAAGGTGTACGAGCGCGAAGTGCTTTCTCGGGTCTCCCTCCATCCCTCAGGAGAGGGAACAAATGGGAACGACTTGGAGAGGTTGGCTTTGCTGTCTTGGATCACATACGGGGAATTGTTCCACCATTCAATCGAAGTCGGGCAACACACTGTGAAACCGCTGAGCACAGTGACGCGACTGAAATGGATCGTGTTCTGTATGCCTGATGTTTACTGTTATTGGAATCTGGCGTTCTCGGACTTCTCGCGACGACTGAAGGCTGCAGCCAAGGACAAATATAAAACCAGCCAGCAACAGCGCGCAATGCTCGATTTGATCGACGCATATCCTGGTCTCAATCCGAAACGATGGCGAGCACTTTTGGAGGAAGAGGAGGAGTCTTATCGCGCCACGCAGCTTGCAGTGGTCTCCTGTGGCTTCAAGGGGCTTGAATATCTTGTGTCTTCAGCCAGTCTGCTAGTCACGCTGAAGATAATGTACGCAAGGTCAAGAAAGTGTTCCAGTCGTACGACGATGATGGTAGTCTGCTTACGGAGGATCTTCGCCAGTCCTCAGGCGATAGATGGGTGTATGCGCCCACGCCCGCTCTTGCAGATGATTTATATATGACATTGTGGGGCGAGAGGACCTCCAACACCCAGTCTTGGACCGAAGAAATGGTGGAAAGTATGATAGAGCTCATTCGTTCGCCGGCAAACCAGTCGAGTCAAACTACAATCCAGCATCATCAGACGTAGAATATCTGTGTCGAGAGCGAATTAAATAAACCACTGATAGTGGGCGCACATCGAGCCTCGATTATGCAATGACCGACTGCACAATCGTCCGAGGGCGCCGTGATGCGTTGTTGGAAGCTAAATCATACTTAATGTGGCTGTGACGCAATGTGACCTTCGGTCACCAAACTTATATTTTTCACCCCGCTCGATGTCTGTCCTGGTTGCCGTCGCCAAAACGCCTGTCTCCAAAGGCCGACCATCCAAAAGATTCGACCCATCGAGTGACTCCTTCGATCATGGTCCTCAATCACCTAAACGAAAACATCAGCACGGTAATTCATCGGTCAAGCAAGCCTTCAAAACTCCACCCCGCAAAAGAGCCCGATTGTCCGGCCCGTCCACGCCGCTTGAAGAGCAGAGGAAACAGTTACCGATCGCAAAAGGTGGGACTCAAGGAATCCTGAAAAGCGACTGTATTGGACTGATACGTTCAACACCAGGGAAAGACGCCTTGATGGAGGAGATCAGGAAAAACAATGTCACTGTCCTTCTCGGAGAGACGGGTTCTGGGAAGACGACTCGTCAGCCAATTATTTGTTTGCCTACATCGTAGTGAAATTGATCCCCTTCCTAGAGGTTCCGCAATATCTCCTCGAATGCGGTCTGGCGGGCTCTGGTATCATTGGTGTAACGCAACCGCGGAAGGTTGCAGCTACATCACTTGCCGCTCGCGTTTCTGAAGAGCAGGGCACCGTTCTCGGACGACTGGTTGGATATTCGGTCCGATTCGACGAGCAGTGCGGACCAGAAACGCGGGTGAAGTATATGACGGACGGCATGCTCACACGAGAGCTTCTTGGCGACCCACTGCTCACCAAGTACTCGGTGCTTATCATCGACGAAGCCCACGAACGAACATTGCGTACCGATCTGCTGCTGGCCAATTTGAAGCGCATATTGCGAGAGCGGAATGGCGACAGCCAGGGAAAAGGAAAAGGGAGGCCTAATCCTCTGAAGGTTGTTATCATGTCTGCTACTCTCGATGCGGAGAAGTTCAGCAAGTTTTTCTCCGAGTGTGTCCAAGTATGTTTTCCGCTGTATCCGGGGCTGATTTTGCTCCAGTGCAAAGATCATATACGTCAAGGGTCGACAACATCCTGTAAAGGTCTACCATGCCGCACAAAGTCAGACAGACTATGTTGAGGCCGCCTCTCGCACGTTCTTCCAGATCCACGTCGACCAAGGACCCGGGGATGTTCTCATCTTCCTTCCTGGTCAGGAGGACATTGAGAGCCTGCAGCTTTCCATCGAGGACTTCGCTCGTAAACTGCCGCCAGACCACGCACAGGTCCTCGTTGTCCCTATGTTTGCTGCCCTCCAGCAGACACAGATGCAGCGCATTTTCACTCCGACGCCACGAAAAGTACGCAAATGTATCCTTGCCACCAACATCGCGGAGACGTCGATCACTATCCCGGGAGTTCGTTATGTCATCGATACGGGCAAGAGCAAAGAAAAGCGTTATCTGGCAGGCTCAAACGGAGGAGGTCAGTTTCTGCCCTCTCCCTCGCCCTTGGTACCGAACAGAACTCTCGCAGGTTTCGATACTCTTCTCACTCGCGACATTACCAAATCCAACGCCATGCAACGTGCTGGGCGTGCTGGGCGTGAGGGCCCTGGGGTGTGCTATCGTCTGTTTACCGAAGACGCCTTTTCTGTGATGCATGACTCTCCCGAGCCAGAGATACTGCGATGCAGTCTCAGTCAAGCGATGTTACACCTGTTCTGTTTAGGACAGGATCTGCAGGAGCTCGACTTGATGGATGCGCCAAATGCAGAGGCTCGTGCGTTTTTAGTCCCCTTGATGTTATTGCACCTGAGCTAATAATGTCAGTTTCTGCTGCTCTGCGAACTTTGTTCTTGCTGGGTGCACTGGATTCACATCGTGCTGTTACCCCCCTTGGACGTGTGATGGCGTCGTTTCCCTTGGAGCCGGCCTTTGCACGGGCTCTCGTCGCTTCGGCCGAACTCTCGTGCACGACCGAGGTGCTTGATATTGTCTCAGTCCTCTCCGCCTCCTCGAAGATCTGGCTGGATGTTACGGATAAACGCGCAGATATCCTCGAGGCTAGACGAAAAGTAACACATCCAACGGGAGATCATATGACGATCCTGAATACCGTTCGAACGTACCGAGCTGTCGGTGGTGAAACGGAGGACAAGGTAGCGAGAACTGCACGCAAAGAGTGGGCTCGACAGCACTATGTCAACGAGCGCACCATCCGAGAGGCAACGGCAATCCGGGAGCAGCTTCGGGAATGCTGCAGCCGTGCTGGGATCGACTGGCGCTCGAGTTGCGGAGACCTAGATGAGCCGGTGTTGATGAGTTTGGCGCACGGCCTGGCTCCGAATTCAGCCCTCATCGGACCCGACGGCAGCTACAAGCAGATCATGGGCCATTCGGTGGTCAAGATTCACCCGAGCTCCAGCGTGGCCGATAAGAAGTTCCCAGCGATTATCTTCGACGAGCTGGTTTACACCAACCAAGTTTACGCCCGAGGTGTTTCCTCCATCTCCAAAACATTCTTTGCCAAGCACGGAGTTTTGTCCCAGCGAGCCGTCTGATCGCTCAATCAAGGACTGCACCAGGGAACATCCTACAACTGGACCGGCGTCGATGTGTCTAAGCGGGATGACATCGCTGCGAGACCACACGGTCTACCTAGTCTAGCCACTGTTCGATTACTCTTTGTTACATTGGCTGTGCAGGTCCACTGCGAAACACGGTCCAAGTCTCTGTCTAACCTGCCGTGATCATCGAAGTCGCCGACGAACAATCCTGTCTGGTCCGCCGTGTGTCTTGAGCGCTGGGAAGGGTTCAGCAATTAATCATCCAGACGACAAGATCGCTTGTCGCTCCAATGTTGAGGCAACACCTTGGCAGGCGGAACTCCAATGGCAACCACGGCTATCCAGAGCTCAAGGTAGAGCCGCGAAATCCAGTCAGTGTTCGCGGCGTCGAATGTGCCCTTACCTTTTGGTTGTTCCCCTCAAGATCTCGATTTGAGCCAGGGAGACCGAGCCTGTACTTTGCAAATGCCTCCAGCATCAACCTCCGGCGCAGCCCAGAATCGCTGGTTGCTCCGCCACCGTGTATGATCTGCGTCCGATACTCTGCTGGGATGTTCTCCGCAGGAGCGTCAGCAGTGGAGACGACACCGGGACAGCGAAATAGAAGCAGGTGTTCTCCAGATGCAATGCAATCCCTGATTGTAATATCATATTTCGGTAGAGCATGGCGCGCGTCAAAACAACGTAGAGCATGGGGCACAGTGAAATTTGGTTTTCCTTCGAATTATGAGAATAGAGGGTGAATTCAACACTAGGCTCGTAGAGAGACACAATCGCAGCAGCACGCCACAGTAGAGGGCGTGGACGTTGTTCTGCATGCGGCACCTTGGGGATTATATCAAGATCAGTAACTTGAGATCGGTGGTGGTCGTTTGCCAAACTGCTGTTATGTGTCCATAGTTGCGTGTCAAACATGGGGGGAAGTAAAACGAAAGTTTGGTTTGAAAGCGCGACGAGTGAGGTTACAGGAATGGGAACAGCTGTCTATACGCGGTGCATCTCGGGTCGGGCCGTCCACATGGACCACATCGTGCTAATGATCATGACGACCAACCATAAGTTGAACCCACTCGGCATATGCCGGATTATATAACCGGTTCATTCTCAAGATGTCAAATGATGCGCTCATGGCCAGCTCATAGTTCATGTGCCGGACGAAATAGATGCCAGAAAACGTCAGAGTACCACACTTTTCGTATACTGTACGGTAGAAAAGTTCACCCCCATCGCCGATCGCGAGGGAACAGACACGCGTTTCGGAAAGCACAGCGTAATAATGATATGAGGGGGGTGTTAAGGCTACACAGATGCGGGCCCATGGGTCGTAAAAGCCTCGAATTAGGTCTGTAGATGCGGTTTCTATATCTATCCGTCCATATTATGAGGGCATGAGAAATGAACCGTTCAGGCCTGTGAACTATGTGAGATCCGACACGACACTCAGGAAAAAAGGACAACGCACGGAAGCCTCCTTCATGTAGGTAATGAGGTCGTTCCGGTCCTTGTCTTTCTTCAAGCCAGCGAACGCCATCTTGGTTCCAGGAATGTACTGCATTCGCACTTGGGTCAGAGTCAACGACGAGGTCAGAATGACGTCACACACCTTCTTGGGGTTTTCGAGGTACTCGAACAGAGTCTGCTCCTCCCAGACAACGCCCTTGTTCACGTTGGCGGCGGTGTACGAGAAGCCCTCAGCCTGGCCAGACTTGCGTCCAAAGAGACTGAAAGTGGTGTCAATTCAATGTACAGGCCGACTGGAAGATGACTCGCCCGTGAAGGTTGGGTCCGACTTTGTTGGGCTCGCCAGCACCGATCTGTGCACCAGTTAAGGATCAAGTTGGCATTTTGCGGTCAGCGGGACGCACGGTGTGGCACTGTGCACAACGAGTCTTGAAGAGGTTGGCACCTTTGGTAGCGTCGCCTGGGGGAGTCATGAGCAACGTCGCGCTCGCAAGTGATGATGAGCCAGCACAAACCGGCGGAGAAAGGCATTTTGGGGAGAAGAGAAAGAGGTGGGTTTTGGTATAAAGGCAAGCGGGTGAAGCGTTGATGGCCAGCAAAACTTTTCAATGGATCAAAACCCCGATTTGTTCCGCGACCAATGGCATTAGTCGGTTTAGAGATTCGACGTCACAACCGTCGGCGAGATGCGGCAGCGAGTCGGTCCGTGACTCCCGGTCCGAATTTTGATCGGTCCTCCAGGTTGTTACCACGTGATCTGAAATGAGTCTGGTTCCCGAACTCGTGAATGGACTGCCACTCGCATAGAGACTCTTCACCACGGCATCGAAGTACACCAGAGTGTACCCGAAAACTTGGAAGACTCTGTCCACCTTGCGGCAGGTGTAAGCAACGATCCAAAGTACCATCAACGGACTCGCATTGAAACAGAAGATGTCGGAGGCTGGCTTACGCCCGATACAACTGCTGTCTGACCGCCTTATTGCCGGAATGACCCTTTTGATCTGCATGCTTCAGTGACCTTGCTTCAAGTATCGGGAAAGCCATCGACTACGTGGCAGGCAATCTGTGAAATTTTCCATCTCGACCCGACTGGACGTTGAAGCCTAACAGTGGAGATTTGAAGCAACTGGACCCCCACGCTGATGGCTGATACCTTGTGGTCCCAGCTATCGCTCGTCAGAACTGCAGACTTGGATCTCAAGTGTTGTTGCAAGCACCCCATCGGCCCGCCGGGGCCCGTCATTGACGCGTATCAAATCTAATCGCGAGGCAAAGGCGCTCGACGAAGCTTGCCCATGCGTACTTACAGCAAAGACGTGCAATGGCTATACATGCGTCTCTTTGGACAGCCCTCGCTCACCAGAGCTCAGATATAATGCACTTGCCATGATATATCCGAGTCGGAGTTTTTCTCTTCAGCAATGGAGCCGGCGACCCTTGTGATCGAAGCTTGGTCATGGCAACAGCAAGATCTTTTGCCACGCGACAACCCGCCTGGGGCTGCGTCGACCTGGGCAATTTGCACCACAAGACCTCACAAGACTTAGCAATGATGGATAAGCAATATAAATTATCCGAATGCCTTGGTATAAAGCGCTCCGACGACTTTCTCCGTCGCTAGCGAAGTTTGAACTATGCTGTCCCAACTGGTACTCGCCGCCGCCTCTCTGGTGCTTGCCCCCCTCGTCAGCGCGCAAGTTGGCCCCGGTCATGTGACTGGAAACACAGCCGTCCACGACCCGACCATGTGCAAGAGGTCCGACGGGATGTACTTCGTGTTCTGTGAGAGTCACCCACAAATCAATCCGGCAACACAGCTGACACTGACCGACGCTCAGCTACAGGAACTGGCCTCGAGGTTCGCACGTCCCCGGACCGGACCGCGTGGACTTTGGTGGGTTCGGTCTTCCCGAATGGTGCGCCCTGGACGGATGCCTACACTGGCACCAGCAATGGGTGAGTCTCCACGACCTTGGAGACACGCAAACTTATCCAGTCAAAGCGCGCTCTGGGCCCCTGACTGCACTGTCGTCGGCAACACTTTCTACGTGAGTCGATGAGCCCAACTTTTTTTCGCCGATAACCAATCTTGCTTTAGCTCTATTACGCCGCCTCCACTTTTGGATCGGCCAAGGTGGATATCTTCTGCAGCCGTGTTCAGAGCTGTCCTCATCCGGAATCAGTCAGCCATCTTCTTCGCCAAGTCGACGACTGGCATGCCAGGCAGCTGGTCCAACCAAGGCTTGGTTACTTCCAGCAGTTCCAGTTCGGGCTACAACGTAAGCCTCAATCTGTTCACTTCTTGACCTATTTGACGGTATCATCAGGCCATTGATCCCAAGTGCGTCGTGTCTGATGCATTGAGCGGATGTATTTGACAATCGCCCAGTCTCCTGATTGACGGATCGCACTGGTACTTGTCGCTGGGGAGCTTCTGGTCTGGGATCAAAGTGCAGTCGCTGAGCCCGAGCACCGGGAAGCTCTCCTCTTCTGCGGTGACCTCTGTTGCCCAACGCGCCAGCCCCGATGCTATGGAGGCAAGCGCGATCTACAAGCACGGGTCGTACTACTATCTGTTTACATCTTGGGACAACTGCTGCAAGGTCAGGCTCTTGCGCATGCTTTCCATCGTTCTCAAGCCATCGGCATAGGGCACTTCCAGCACTTACAACATCCGTGTTGGTCGGTCAACCAGCCCCACTGCCAACTTCGTCGATCAGAAAGGCACCCACCTTACCAATGGCGGCGGCACTCTTGTGCTTGGTACTCACGGAAACGTGAGTCTTCTCTTTGGTTGCGCGCTGGCATATCGATAATCTATCCGCAGATCGTGGGACCTGGGGGGCAGGACATTATGGATGATGCCGATGGCCCGATCCTGGTTTACCGTACGATATGCCTTTTTCTCTCATTGCTGTTTTTAATCCGATGATCAGACTACTACACCTCGTCCGGAAGCTTCGTGCGTTCACATCTTTCCACTGTTTCACATGGTTCTCACGTAGTGTTAGCTCGGGATCAACCGATTGGACTTCTCGAGCGGTTGGCCGGCAAGTACTCATGATCACCCTCTTGGACATGCTGAATGACTCCGAATAGGTTGTTGCTTAATGTGCACGAGTAGATATCCTTCCGGGGGCACACTATAAACTTGTACTTCTAATTTCGTTACTTTGTTCTGACCCGATTACTAGATAAGATCAGAAACTGCTAATCGTCGTGACCGAGTGTCGCGTCACAGATAGTGATTTCCATCAAGCAGTGTGAACTTTCGTCCTGTTCCAACTTGTCGCACCATGATTATCGACTCTGCGTGCTCCTTACGAGATCCGGAGCATCTTCTCACGTCTGCACGCAAAAGAATCTTCATCCTGAAATTTTCCCTCACGAGGTCATCGAAACAGTCTGGTCTCCACTCACGCCAAGGACTCCAGACGGTGGAATCTCGTGGCCAACGCGCATTTCTCAATTTTTCTTTCTAATCATGGACCTGATGTCTCTCATGCTCCATGCGTTGGCTCGGAATAGACGGGCCATGTCCTTCGTCGCAGAGTCTGTCACTCGTGGCACCATGCGATCCACCATGGTCATGACTTGAGCCGCCACGACGTTCGCTTCACACCTTATCTGCCTCTGTCCATGCATAAAAAAGGCCACTTGCGCTTCAAGCAGTTCAGTGTCGAACATGGTTGCCACTGCTGTCCTGTTTGCGTCTCTGCTGTCTCTTGTGCTTGCCACCCCGGCGCCGCGCAGCGGTTTCAAGCTTCACGGGAAACGAGATTCGATCCCGAGCACTTTCGTCAAGGCGGGTGTGCCGTCGCCTGAGACAACGGTCAAGCTTCGGCTCGGTCTCTTCAGCAACAATTTCCCGGGTGGGCTCGCCATCTCCGGCGCAATTGTTCGCAGCTCACATGTCGTCGATCAGGTCTCGAGGAAACGCTCTATGCTGTCTCGACGCCTGGATCCGCGCTCTACGGCCAGCATCTCTCTCTCGAGGAGGCGAAAGCATTCATGGAGCCAAGCGCCGAGTCTTTGACCGCCGTCACTGAGTGGCTGCAGTCACACGGACTCAAGGCTGACGTCGACTCGCCGTACGGAGAATGGCTCTCGGTCCAGGTTCCGGTCTCTAAGCTCAACGAGATGCTCGATGCGGTGAGGAAGCCTGTGATGATCTCATGAACAAAAGGTCGCTCATGGTTGGCGACAGAACTATGAATCGTTCACGCACGTCGAATCTGGAAAGCAGATGCTTCGTACCATGGCATACTCGCTTCCGGAGAATCTGCACGCTCACATCGAAGCCCTGTCCCCGACCACTGGGTATGTGAATCGAAGACCTTGCATCGACTGATGCTGACATGACCTTCAGCTTCTCTCGTCCGCTGGGTGTCGGCCGTGGCCCAGTCGTTTCTGCCAAGCTGAAGGCCCCTCCGGTCAACGAGACGCTCTCGCCTGATGCTGTGCCGGCTTCCTGCGCGACGACTGTATGCATCTAGCCCTCTTCATTATCAATCTTCTGACATCATTTAGGTGACCCCGGCTTGTCTCCAAGCTATGTATGGAATTCCCACGACTTTGGCCACCCAAAAATCGAACTCGATCGCCGTCGCTGGATTCATCGAGCAGGTAGGCCTGACACCAATCAGCCGGATTCTGGATTCTTACGGTCGCCTAGTTTGCCCAGACTCGGGATCTCAGCTCTTTCCTGACACGGTACAACGGTTTTGATATCTGGATCCAAGCGGATATTGAATGATCTGCCCAGGTTCCGAACCGATCTGCCGAGCACGACCACCTTCGCCCTGCGTACTTTCGACGGTGGTGCAAACACCCAGAGTGCCAGCCAGGCGGGAATTGAGGCCAATCTCGGTAGGAAATGTCGTGTTTCTCAGGCTCTTCTCACCTGGCCCATAGATATCCAGTACACCGTTGGTGTCGCCAGCGGCGTCCCTGTCACGTTCGTCAGCGGCGGTGAACAATTTTCCGACGGCGCACTCACTGGCTTCTTGGACATCATCAACAACTTGAGCGGGCTCACTACTGTTCCCCAAGGTCCGCTGGCCCCAGCCACTTTGATGGCCGTTTCATGACGATGTTTCAGTTCTGACGACGTCGTACGGAGAGGACGAGCCCGACCAGACCGCGGCTGACTTCACGTTAGTACTTTTCCGCGAAAGGGTTCCTTTTGCGGCTGACCCCGGTCCACCAGGAAACTGTGCAATGCCTATGCCGCTTACGGCACGCGCGGCGGTTCGATCCTGTTTGCCTCTGGCGATGGCGGAGTTGCCGGCGGCCAGTCTCAGTCGTGCACGACGTTCATCCCGGCGTTCCCATCGGGCTGGTGAGTGAATAAGACCGTCGCTAGCATCATCTGACATTCTCCCTCAGCCCATTCTTGACCAGGTGGGATTGGATCTAGGTTCTGGGGTTTTGACTCACCGCGTTTAGCGTTGGCGCTGTCTCTGGCATTCCTCCGTCTGAAACTGCTGCGTCTTTCTCCTCGGGAGGTTTCAGCCGTGTCTTTGCCCAGCCCAGCTACCAATCCGCTGCGGTCAAACAGTACCTGAGTCTCCTCGGGACCACCAACTCTGGCAAATTCACTCCCACTGGACGTGCTTTCCCCGACGTATCCACGCAAGGAGGTCAGAGCGCTTGTTGCCCACCCTGTGATCCCTCTGCTTACAGCCCCCAGTCGACTTTGACATCGTCAGCGGCGGTACTCTCGAAGGTGTGTCTGGCACCTCGTGCTCCAGCCCGACGTTCGCCAGTGTGATTGGCCTGATCAACGACCGCCGCATTGCTGCTGGCAAGTCATCGCTCGGATTCCTGAACCCCTTGTTCGTTGAATCGTGCCTTTGTGGAGTCGATGTCTCATCTCACCCCATTTCGCAGCCTGTACGCCACCCCAGTGTGTTCAATGACGTGACCCTGTGAGTTCGGCTCGCGCTTCTCGTTGACACTCCGGCTCATCAAGCCTTTCCCCACAGCGGCCACAACACCGGCTGCAACACCAATGGATTCGCGGCACGTGCTGGATGGGACCCCGGTATGTTCTGCGCGATCCATCTCCCCAAAGCTCCTGCTCATTTCACACGCAGTCACCGGACTGGGAACGCCCAAATTCGCCTCTATCCTGGCGGCTGCTTTGGCTGCCTGAATGGCTGAGATTTTTCTGGTCTGACTGAAAGCGATGTGTCTCTGTTATCCACGCTATCTGTTGTACACTTGCTATTGATACAATCAAAGGAAGAATTGGAACCTAAAGCAGCAGCGAGAGAGATGCGTTGAAGAAACGGATCGCGCGGAGCAGTTGATCGTTGTCTCCGTAGAAGAAATTCAGAAGCTGGACGCGCTTATGTCATGTCAAATTTCCCGATGTCCCAGCGAGCTCACCGAGAAAGAATGCAGCAGATTCTGCAGCGAAGGGATAAATTGCAGGTTGAACTGGGACTGGGCTACTTGGAGATCTTGGATCTGCGTGGCTACTTGAGAACTGCTGGTGTAGAGGGAGTGAGGGCGTCTACTGACTTGGTCCGCCATGGCGACGATATTCACGGCGACGGACGAAAGCGACGCATTCGCGTACCCGGCGTTACTTGCCGGGTAGCCGACGATGAGCGTCGCCGTCAGCTGGTTCACGGCCGCGGAGCAGTTCGCTGTCCAGTTCACGAAACCCGCGATGAGATCCGACTGGGATCGATCAGCAGCGGGAAGGGAGCACCGAGACATGCATGTGCATACTTACCGGAATGCTGTTCGCGGCGCTCCCTGTCACAATGGCGGATATCGTCTGCGTAAGAGCGCTTGCCGTCGTCAAGGCGCTCTCAAACGACTGATGGACCTGGATCACACTCGCGACCAGCAATCCATCCAGCGACGAATTGGAGCTGGAGCTCTGGGTGACATTGAGTGCCGAATCCGGGAGACTCGTCGTACTTGGGCTCGGTTGCGTAGCTGAGGCTGTGCTCTCCCGTACGTCGAAGAGATGCGGGAACGCGACAACAGATGGCAGGAGCAGGAGGCTGGTCAAGGCCGGGAGACCAAGCATGATGGCTGGACCTCCCTGAAACAAAGCTCGCGTATTTATCGCGGGACGGGTAAAGACGAAATGAAGGTGTAACTAAGACATGCCGACACAGAGTCATCCTGGTCACATGATGTTCAATTTTCCTCTCGGCCATCGTTACGGAGCAGCTATTGAAAAATCCGCTGAGTATGTCGTCTCCGGAAAGATCACGGACTGACTGGAACTAGCGCGGATTGCAAGCGCATCGAAAGCGTTGACGGAAGCAGAAAATGTCCCATCGGCGGCCACAGTGATTGTCGGTCCTGTGCAAGTTGCTGGGTTCGGGTCCGAGTCGTGGCTAAAATGGCATCAGCACGGAAACAATTTTCCTGGAACATGAGTCCAACATGATGTCACAGTCTCGAAATATTGATTTAGCAGGGCACTCTTGATCAAGGAAGAAAAAAGAGCTGCTCACAATTCCCCGCTGGCAGAGACGTAGCGAAAGTTTGAGACCATGCCGTGGCGTCGTTATTCACGACCAAGAATCCGGCAGCACCGCGACCGAACGCTGATCTGATTCAGCGTCTGGCGACAAAAGGGCCGATCGAAATTCCGGCTCACCCACTTGCTGTTTCGTGCCGACAGCGATGTTCGTCAGCGGATTAGAGCCAACTTCGTTGTGGTATTGAACCATGTTTGCGATTGCCGTGAAGCGGTGCTCGCCTCCCGCAGATCAGCATCAAACACAATTTGTCGAGCCACACTCACATCGGAATCCATTCTGGAAGCAGGTGATCTCGTCAGTAAAGCCAGCAGCGTCTTGAGGGGCGCCCTGGTCAAACGACGTGAAATTGTATCTACCCCCGAGTCAATTCTGGAAGAAAGGGATCCTGTCACAACACACCCAGAGAAGACCGTCGGAGTGCCGTAGTTGAAGCCAAGCATGAAGATGGCGGAGAGCACGTAAGCGTTGTTGGCTGAATTACTGGTGAGCGAGTTCCCGGAACGTTCCGTGTCTTGGTTAGCCATGATGAAATTGGCATTTAGGCCATCAATAATCCCGAATTCTGAACTGAGGGCTGCAGTATCTTTAGCCGGCGTCTGCGGACGACCCACGACTTCTTACGGGTGGGAGTGACTAAGTTCGACACCTGCGAACAATGAATTAGTCAAGTGAAAAACAAGAGCGATGCCCACCGACCGAGTTCCCGTTGCTTCCCTCAAACGACTGTTGAAGGAACGAGGTGGCACCGAATTCGATAACATCCCTGAGCCCGAGCTCAGCCCAACTGTCGAACGGAAATGATGGGATCAGGACACACCCGTTACCGGTATACTGGGCGGGCTCGCTGGCACCGCCGGCTGGCACCTCCTGGATGATATACGGCGATCCATTCAACTGCGAAAAGATGGCTTTGAGGGTGCCCGGGTCCATGTGTTTGGCAGCGTCCACCCGGAAGCCAGCCACGCCCTGATAATCTCAGATAAGATTAAATAAATGCACAATAAGGCCAGATCGTCTGACCAGAGACAGCAGATCGTTCAAGAGTCCCGCGATCGTGCTCTGAACAGCAGGCTGCTCTTGGGCCAAGTCGGCCAATCCGACAAGCTGCGATGATTACTGAATGTTTCTCCATGCGACAAGACTCAGTGGGCTGACCTCGCAGGTGCGGACTTCCGTGATATTGTCAAAGTTGGAGATCGTCGATGCCGTGGTGCCACCTTGGCAGTAGTGAAACTTGTCGGCAGAGTAGATCGGACTACGCCCAAGTTGGTCAAGGCCCGCCGCGGTGAGCGGAGGGAACTCACTAGCTGTACTTGGTGTACACAGTGCCTGCGAAGCCGGTTCCTGCTCCGCTGCAGTCGATGTGAGCCAATTCAAGATCCGAACAACCGACCGAGCCTACCTGGTCATATGGTTCGTAACCACTGTTCTCGAGTTTAGTATATCGCAGCACGCGGAAAAAAGGGGACGGATCTTCCTCCACTTGCCATCTGCGATGATCCCTACTCCCGCGGAATTGCAGCTCGAGACCATGTTCGCGAACTGCGTCCGGTTGCCTCGCTTCGATGAAATCGTATACGACACCGGTTGATAGTCCGTAAACCACTGCGGGCCCGTGATGTGCTCCGTCGGCGGGCTGACTTGCACAAATCCGAACCCGGCTGAGCCCAAGAAACTGCATTCGGATGCAACACTATCCCACGGCCACTCAAACATCTATCGCAATGAGTCGGCTCGTAGCGGCCGTGTGGCAGTCCCACGGACCTGGACGATCACATCGTTGGCCTTGGAGGGTCCCCGCGCGGACACCTTCGCGCCTTGCACAGCAAAGGCAGACAGGCCAGAGAGAAAAAGAAAAAGGGAGATAATACCCCGGACCATGATAAGAAGGAAAGAAAAAGGGACAACAGAGAACAGGAAGAGCAACAGGTCGTCTGTGCATCTCGCCAGCAGGATTTATATGCAAAAACGTCGAGTTCGTTGACGACAGTGATGAGAGAGCATCAGAGCGTGCCAGGGATACATGGTCAAATTGATGGTTTGAGAATGTGATCAGGACGTCATCCCGAAGCGAGATAAGTACTGTCCCAATGAGTTCTACATGATGATACTTCTCGCTACTTTACGGTCTAGTGACAACACCGTCTACAAAAACAGTCGGTCCCTTGGGCATCTCTCCGACGAGGGCGATCGCAGCTTCGTCCAGGTTTGGATCGCATGAAAAATCCCATTCCAGCGAGCCACCGTACTGCTTGGGGAGATTCTGCGCATCGATAAGCTGCAGCAGGGTTTCGCTTGGATCTTTGCCCAGGATATGGATCTTGTTGCGGGTGCCCGGGTCGAACCAGCCCTCGAGGGAAAGGTGAGCACGCAATTGTGTTGAGAGAAAACGACGCCACAGTACCTTGATCCAATTCCAGATGGTCGGGAAGAACGAGGGCGCATTGACAACTGCAATGGTACCCAACGTCTCTGGATAGTTCGCTGTCGCAAGCTTTGACGACTCGGCCAGATGACTGCGCAAACTCCACATGGATCCCAGTGAGACCTGGCTCAAGTCGATGATGGTCATTACGCAAGTGATTGGAGTGTCTGTTCCGTGCGGGAGCGCACTGCATAGGGGCAGTATAAACCCGACCATGCATTCATAAAGAACAACACTGTGCCATCAGTTGAGAAGTGTAAAAGTGGGCCTGACTGGGATCACATACATGCGTTGGTAACGGCGCTCAGGAGCAACCGCGTTGAGTTCCTTCTGGACCCCTGAATTCATAGATGAAAGGTGGTATACGTATATTGGCAAGCCACTCTACTTCACAGGTCAGACTTCCAACACGTTCAACAGACCGAGCAAATATTAGATACCTT